CGGCATACGATCGAATACCACCCTCTCGACGACGACGAGCAAGAGAAGAAAAAGGACGCGATGGCGCTTGTGCTCATATTCGTGTGATCGTGGTGGAATTCTTCCGAGACTTGGACGCTGATTCGTGACGGGCTGTAGAACGATTAACGGTATCCTCTCCATGACGGCCTTCCGACGAGACTTCTCGACCGGCTACACCGAAAACCTGAAGCCCGCTATTTCACCCGCCGAATCGTCCATCATCGTCGCAATCCTGAGTGCCGGCACAGTCCTCGGTGCTCTCCTCGCCGCACCCATCGGCGATAGTTGGGGCCGTCGCATTTCGCTCATCTTATCCGCCGGCGTCTTCAGCTTCGGTGGTATTTTCCAAGTCTGCGCGCACGACATCCCAATGCTCTTGGTCGGAAGGTATGCCATACGGATTGGGAGTGTTGGCTCATTGCGCAACGCGTCGCTGACCAAGTATGCAGGTTTTTTGCTGGTGTCGGCGTCGGATCTATCTCAGTACTCGTACCAGTCTATCAGTCAGAAATGGCTCCAAAGTGGATTCGAGGTACCCTCGTCTGCGCCTATCAACTTTCCATCACCATTGGTTTATTGTCCGCATCCTTTGTCAACATCTTAACCGAAAAGCTCGACTCGGGCGCCGCGTACCGCATCCCGCTTGGCCTTCAACTTGTGTGGGCCGTCGTCTTGACCCTCGGTCTTCTGGTCCTCCCCGAAACACCACGCTTTCTTGTCAAAAAGGGCAAGCCAGAGGCCGCGGGTCTATCACTAAGTCGCCTCCGTCGCCTCGATATCACCCATCCCGCCCTACTCGACGAGCTTCAGGAGATTGTGGCGAACCACGAGTATGAACTCACACTTGGCCCAGACTCCTACAAGGAAATCTTTTATGGGTCGCCCCATCTTGGTCGAAGAACTCTCACTGGATGTTGCCTTCAGATGCTGCAACAACTCACGGGTATCAACTTCATCATGTACTACAGCACGTCCTTCTTCGATGGCGCCAGGGTCGAGAACCCTTACGTCAAGGCTCTCATCATCAACATTATCAATGTCGTTGGAACAGTTCCGGGCCTCCTTGTCATCGAATCGTGGGGCCGTCGCAAGTTGCTCATGGTCGGTGCTATCGGCATGGCAGTCTGTCAACTCCTCATCGCTTCCTTCTCTACGGCTGCCGGCGAGAACCTACAGCAGGCCGCGCAAACCATCCTAATCGTTTTCTGCGCCATCAACATCTTCTTCTTCGCGGCATCATGGGGCCCTGTGTGCTGGGTTATTACGTCCGAGATTTATCCCCTAAAGATCCGTGCAAAGGCTGCCTCGATTTCGACCGCTTCCAACTGGCTCTTAAACTTCGGCATCGCATACGGCACTCCCTTCATGGTTGGTCAAGGGCCTGGCTACGCCGACATTGGTCCCAAGATCTTCTTTCTCTGGGGTGCTTTTTGCATTCTGGCAGTGCTATTTGTATGGTGTATGGTCTTCGAGACTAGCAAGATCAGTCTTGAGCAGATTGATGAGATGTACGAACGTGTCGACTACGCCTGGAACAGCACTAGGTTCGAACCGAGCTGGAGCTTCCAACAAATTCTAGACGAAGGATGGTCACCTAGTGGTCAACCCCCTCCAGAACACGAATTGCAGCAAACACAGACGAACTCCACGACCCAAACTACACAAACCTCACAAACAAACTCAAATTCGGCAACATCAACAAACACCGGCGCGACTGCGAGCTCGACAGAAGCGGAAGCGAAGATGCTATCCCAGATGGGTAATGTGGACTTCAGTTATTGATCATTTATACCCATCTTCTACTTTATATCTGATGTTACTATTACCACTCTTTTTCTTTCCTTGTCATTTCAAATCATATCCCGGATAGCAGCGTCGGAGTTCACAATGTCTGGAGTTTACGGGGGGTTCATTGGCCATAACCACCGATGGGCGGTTGGTTTTGGGGTTTCATTTTGGCGGAAACAGGTTTTGCCACTATATTGCAGCGCAGCGGTTGTTTGGACAAAGAAAGTAAAGATATCACGGTCAACGTCGACGAGAATATCCCATTATGGTTTGACGAAGGAGTCAGCTTTTGTGGCGTAAGGGAATCGATGATATATCAACCCCACCTCTCTGGGCATAACACCTTAGTATGACGAAGCGGTGGGAACAAGGCCGGTTTCATCCGGTCTAGAAGATAGGCAGGGGCGAGATAGCTCTTTTGTCATCTATCAATTTGAGTCAAGTCAGTCCACAACTGTTCAATGGCACTTGATTACTTTCCATGATACGTATGACTCCATTCAACTCCTCAACGCAATAGCAAACATATCAAAGGAGTCAGTTGACCTTCGGTCCGAAGCAGAACGCAAGAAATTTTATCCTCGTACATGTGGTGTCAGAGTAGACTCTCAGACAGTGGCCACTTTCACATTTGCATTACACTACTCAGTAAGGTCGAGGTTGAGTCGAGGTTTGGTTGAATATACATACGTCCAGAAGGCAAAGCCAACCACAGCGTGTATTCCGGCATCGACCTTCCTTAGTTCTTATTATCGGAGGAATCTTAGTCCAAGGCTCCCGTGGTTTCACTTTGAGTTCGCGAACTGCTGATAGCCCATAATCTCGTATGTACAATGTGAATATGGGTCTTGTTTTTCAGATTGAAGAAAGCTTTTATGGTGGTGCTTCTTGAAAGTGACTGAACCGCACCGCTACAAATAGCACATTCACTAACCTGTCAGTTTGGCTCATGACTCAGAAAGAAAGAGACTCGCGATATATGTATAAAATTAAATTTTTTTTTTGGATATTTCCTCATCGTTCATAGCCTGTGACTCTGTCACAGAAACATACTGCTCACATAAACTAATTGGAGAGGAGTCTACGGCAACATCTTAAGGTACCCCCCTCCGAAAGCATGAAACGGAAACGAAGTAGACCAGACTTACAAAGATGGACCTTTTTCAACGCCTCGACGAGGACATTACAAACATCATCATTGAACATGGATTCCTTAACCTTGACACAATACGTTTCGCTACGGAGCGCGAGGTCGAGCGTGCGGCGGTACGGGCGCTCGAGATGGCTACCCCTGACCAGCAGCTTGCTATTGCGATGAGACAGAGTTCCATGGCGGTTGAAGGCAATAATAACATCAACGACAATGATGCCAACAATGATGCCAATAACGCCAACAATGGCAACAATGACAATGCAGAAGGATACATCGGCTGGGAAGAGCGCAACCGCCTGCTCACCGACACGCGAACTAACAGCGCAGAAACCTCAGACGCCGAAGATGATAACAACAATGACGAAACATGCGTCGTCTGCTTCACGACAAGACAACCCCACCACCGCCTCCCCTGCGGCTGCCGCATGTGCCCCCGCTGTCTCCGCCGCTGTCTCCGCGCAGGTCTGCGCGCAGGAGGCTGGCCGCCGCGGTGCTGTCAACCTCTCCAGCAGGATAACGTCGAGCAAGCCGCCGGCGCAGAACGGCCCGGTCTGGTGAGGCTGTATAGACAGATCCGGGTTGAAGAGGAGACGCCTGGCGAGGAGAGGGTGTATTGCGCCAGGCCGGAGTGTGCTGCGTTTATACCGGGTGACGGGGAGCATGTCACGCCGGCTGGTGCTCCGGCTGGTGCTGGCGCTGGCGCCGGCGACGCGATGTATTGTCTTGCGTGTGGGCAGGGGACGTGTCGGCGGTGTCGGAGGGTGCTGCATCCCGGGACGCCGTGTGGGACTGAGGAAGAGGATGAGATGCTGATGGATGTCATGGATGAGCTGAATTTGTCGCCTTGTCCTAGTTGTCGGAGGATTGTTGAGCGGGCGGGTGGGTGTACGCATATGACGTGAGTTTTTGATGCCCCTTTCTTGCCTCCCCCCTCCCCCCTCCCCCCTCCCCCCCAATTGTGGAAAGTAAAACGAAAAGGGAGAGGGATGTTTGAAAAGACTGACGAGAAGACTTGTAGGTGCGTGTGCGGCGAGGAGTTCTGCTTCTCGTGCGGCGGACGGTGGATTCGAGGCTGCATTCAGAATTGCAGAGGGACGGGGTTTAGGGGCCGTGTTAATATGCGTGATCGGGCGACGAGGTATCAGCAGGGTTATCTGATGCCAGACGGTCGACCTTTTACTCCTACGGGGATACTGCAGCAGCCTCCGCCTCCGCCGCCTCAAGTTCAACCGCAACCACAGCCTCCGCCGCAGGTTCGACCACAAGCTCAACCTTTTCCGCAAGCAAATAATGATGGTTTGTGGGAGCCTTTACCCGCAGGTAAGTGACTCCCCCTCCACGGCCAGTCATAAGATGGGAAACGTGCGATATTTATAAAAGGGGGTATAACTTCCAGCTGCGATCCAGCCTGTGGTTGTGCCATTCCCTGCTCCGCCGGTACAGTTCTTCATCGACACCGGCCTCATCGATTTATTTCCGACTACTGTCTCCACGCCTGTAGTTATCAACGAGATTTAGGGGACTAACTTGACCTGTGTAGAAATTCTCCAGCCGCAAGTGCAAGGTTTCCAACCCATGGGAGAGATACCGTTCATATATCAGCGCAACGTACACAACATGGATCAAGAAGCTCGTCTCCGACAGGGCAGGGGACGGTTCAGTATCATCATGTACTACCCAGACGGCAGAAACACCGAGGTACGTTTTCAAACAACAACCTTCCCTCCCTTTTGTGTAGAACGTCTCACTGACAACGGACTTCACCTTCCGTCAAATCCAGCCAGAAACCAGAGAATGGCGCCCCGAACGCCGCGCCGCCAGACGCCGCCCTCCTCCCGTCGCGCGCCCGGGCGAGGGGAGGCGACCAGGAGCACCGCGGGCCTGGCCCGTATTCGAGATCCACGCCGAGGACCCGCTGTGCAACCACCACCTGCCGGCGTCGTGGGAGGTGGAGGACATGAATAACCGGGTGCTGCCGCCGGCGTGCACGTTTTGCCGGTCGAGGGCGTATGCCGTGTACTTTCGATGCCGGATGTGCGGGATCGTGGCGTGTAGTATGCACAATAGCGTCCGGTTCGGGTTGATGTGGGCGGCGGCGGTGAGGGTGAGGGATGGGTTGAGGAATCGGGTTTGGTTTGAGCCGAGGGGGAGGAGGGGAGGTGAGGGTAGGAGAGGTGAGTTGTTTTGTTTCCTTTCGTGGAGATTGTATTTGCTGGGATTTTGTTTGACTTTTCTGAGTAGGATGGTTTCGACAGGCGTTTGGGGGGAGATGATGCAGACGTGTGTTTCCGTGGGAATAGTTTGCTTCTTGCTGCGTTTGGAGTGAGAGAAGGTAGGGGCTGGTCACTCGCAGGGTATCAACAATGCAAAATGGAGGAAGCAGCTGACTGGTGGGATCTCGAGGGAAAGAAAATAGATTTCAGTTATTCGAGACTCGTGAAAGTAGATTGCGATGCTCATCGCAACGGCCATGTTCTTGGTCTAGGCATGTACAGTCTATAAAGAAAGGGTGGGATTTTAATACAAGACAAGCTTTTTGAGAACTTATGCTTATTTGCATAGATATCTACAACCGTCTTCTTACCGATGAGAAATCTCACTCGTGAGACTGATATGAGTTGCGTGACCTGATAGCTTCACAGAATGAAATAGGAAGAATGAGACCAAGAGTTTGGTGAAGACGGAGGTTCAGAAAGTTACCTAATCGGCGCCGACCTTGAGCATGAAGCGGCCCCACTACTCCATGCATCCTGGACAGGGGCGGGACAGACAGGGCCAATTCTAGGTTTCCACTGGAGCCAACCTGGGGAAATCGCAATTCTGCCTCTTGCAACACCACAAACTCCACTGTCGCAACATTGATAGCAGAGGGCTAACTGGATCGGGCGTTCTCGCCCAACATGTCTCTCTCCTCCGACGAAGAAGAAGAACTCCTCTTCGACAACCAATCCTTCGCCTCCGAGTCCAGCGACGACGGCGAAGAGCTACCGGCCCCGCGACCCCTGCATCACAACTTAAACTACTTTGCGCCCCCCTTCTACGGTCGCCCGCCGACCCCTCTACCCCCTTCGCCGTCGCTGACGTCGCTCCTCCGCCCTTCGCGACCGACGACCCCCGATGCCTCAGACGACGACTTCGAGCCCTTGCCGCGCGCGTCGCCGCAGGTGCCGACCTACGAGTACTACGGCTTCGTGCTGTACCTCTTCTCGACGCTGACCTTCCTCGTCTACCTGCTCTGGTCCTACCTGCCCTCGCCTTTCCTTCACGCGCTGGGCATCTACTACTATCCGAACCGCTGGTGGTCGCTCGCGATCCCGGCTTTCCTCACGATGCTGGGGGTCTACATTTACATTGCGCTCGCGGCGTACAACACGGAGATTCTGACGCTGCCGCTGAATTCCATTGAGACGGTGGTGGATGATGCTTCTAAGATTGGGGTCATTGACAGCAAGGGACGGCTGAGGGATGACCCGAAGAAGAGGTCGAGGAATAAGAGAGATCATAGGTTGCCGGGGGGAGGGTACGACTGGAAGAACATATGGAACGAGGGAACGGATGCTGTGATGGATATACCGTTGGCCGGCGCGTGTGAAGTTCTCTACGGGGAGGGACGAGACTTCGAGTCAGAGGACGAGTACATTGTGACATGAAGCTTTGAACCAATAAACTAATGGAAATCGAATACAACCAAAAACGAGATACCCAGTGGCGCGCGAGTGTCATAGTCGTATTGTATTTCAAAAAATCGAAGGGAATGAAATAACCCTCCTACTGAGGCGCCGCTCTTTAGACGCCATACTCAAATGCTTATGGTGGGATGTGACGATTCTGTAATTTGACGGTAGACACCCCTGCTCGGTCAATAGCTCCTCTCACCGAGAGCTCATACAGTGTGTCGCGCTATGACACGGTGGGGTGTGGCTGGAATCTCAGCCTTGCACCTTCCTCCAACCACCGCGCCAAATTTTGACCAGACGCGACTTTCAATCGAGCGAAGCATCGCAACAGCCCACCACACCGCCCTCGAACCATCTCAATTATCTCGGTGGATTGTCGCTTCACATACCTCATCGCAATCATGTCCCAACAACCGCTGTCATCGGCCGTCCAGCCGACCGATATCTATGGAGGAGGTAAATGCTCACCTCCAGCTGTACTCTACGCGTGGCCCAATCTAACCATCGCGAACAGATGAGGTCTCCGCTCTGGTTCTCGACCCAGGCTACTGCAGCACCCGCGCCGGCTTTGCTGGCGAGGATGTCCCCAAGTCCGTCTTCCCGTCCTTCTACGGCCGCGTTGGCTCCTCCGATACCCCGACGACCGTCTTCGGCGACGAGTGCCTGATCCCCCGGGCAGACCTCGAGGTCCGCAACTATATGACGCGCGACAGTGTTGTCGAGGACTGGGATGTCGCCAACAAGCTCTGGGAGCACATGCTCATCACACGGCTTCAGCCTGGACGCCCCACGCATCCTTCCAAGAACGGCCTCAACGATGACCCGAAGGAGGAAGTCGAGGGAGGCGAGGCCAACGGCGACGTCGACGTCGCCATGGAGGACGTGGAGTCGCAAGAGAAGGCCCTCCAGGAGAACCCGCTCCTGATGACCGAGGCGCCGTGGAACTCGGCCAAGTCCAGAGAGAAGGCTATCGAGATTATCATGGAGAACTGGGGCTGCCCTGCGTTTTGGCTTAGCAGAACGCCTGTTCTGGCAGCTTTTGCCGCTGGCAAGGCGAGCGCCCTGGTCATTGACGTCGGCGGCTCCAACACTTCGGTTACGGCTATCCACGACGGTATGGTCCTGAAGCGATCCATCCAAAAGTCCCCTGTTGGTGGCCTGTGGCTGTCATCCCAGATTCGCAGCCTGTGGGAGACCTCAGAGCCCAAGATCGAGCCCGTTCCTACATTCATGGTCGAGAGTAAGACCCCCGTCGATGCAGGTGCTCCTGCTCAGTTCAAGGAACGCAAGTTCGACTTCTCCATCAGCGACTCCTTCCGCACCTACGAGGACGACCGTCTCCTTACGGAATTCAAGGAATCAGTAGTCGAGACCTGGCGCGGACCCGGCAAGTACGCCGTGCCGCAAAACGAGGAGTTCGCCAAGACGCAACCCGGCCGTGTGTTCGAGTTCCCCAACGGCGCGAACCAGATGTGGCGCGAGCAGCGGTACAAGGTCTCCGAGGGCATGTGGGACGAGACTGCGGCGTTCCCGACTACCAACGAGGAGTTCCGACTGAATAAGTCGCAGACGATCCCCGAGCTCATCCGCGCCGCCCTGAATGCTGTCGACGTCGACCTGCGCCCCAACCTTCTCGGTAACATTGTGGTCACCGGCAGCACCAGCTTGCTCAACGGCTTCAACGACCGTCTGAACAACGAGCTTACGGCCATGTACCCTGGCCTCAAGATCAAGATTCACGCGGCCGGTCTCTCTAGCGAGCGTCGCTTCGGCGCCTGGATCGGCGGCAGCATCCTGGCCAGCTTGGGTACCTTCCACCAGATGTGGATCTCGCGCAAGGAGTACGAGGAGAACGGTGTCGGCATCGTTGAGAAGCGCTGCAAGTGATTGCCGTCATTTGACGACCGCGGGGATCAAAGTTAGGATAAGGTAGCAGGAGTATGGCGGGAGGGTCATCGTTCTCGTTACTAAGAAAAGGGCGTACGGAGTTTGCACAAAAGGCTTTTTTTCTGACTATCAGAGGGGAGGAGACGGTGGGCGTCAAAAGACTACCTCGCATTAAAGCCGTCTTTGGAATGATGCTATCTGTACGCGTATGCAATCTTTTCCTTCATCGGAGATGGACAGATTGTGAGAAATACAAAAACGTTTCAAACGAATGTTGAGTACACCATGTTCCCTTTGCAGCGATTTGGACAGGTCCGTACTTGAATATCGGCATGGAGGCGACGGTTCTACGGTTCTATAGCTGTGGATTGTGTAGTTGCGACTATTGCATCAGATCTTGTCTTGCGGGTCGATCCTTGAGCCAGCCACCCGCAATCAAGGTTGGGGTAGACAATGGACAAGTAGGTAGAGTGAACATGGCACTTTGTCCTGCTCCTTAGTGAATGGAAGCATATTTGGCTCTGCGCTATGCCGTATTGGTGAAGGAGCGATTCTGGGGAAATCGGTGCAGAAAGCGATTGATGTGGAGATGGATGTCTTGAAAGGCCAAAAGGGTAGCGCCTTGTTCACTGCGCAAATAAACTCGTTGATGATCATAGATGTGGACAAGTTGCGACACCTTGATTGATATCTCAGGTATAGGAGACTGTAGAAATCGAACATGTCAGCATATATGTATTTACCTTGGGCATCCGGAAATACCTTAGGGAAGGTATCCCTCAAGGCATTTGCTCCTTCCTTCCGTGTAAGTGACCGCGACCCACTCTTGCCTCCTTCTACCGTCCCGTCCATCGACACCCTCACTGGACTTTCTCTCAGCCAGACACCTACTTGAATAAATCCTCTCCTGCACACACCCAACACTTTACCGACCTACCTTACCTTAGACGACTTACCGCGGCGACCAGCTTCTCACCTTCTCACACCACTTATTTCCGCATTCCTCATCATCAAACGGCACTTCCATCACAGCAAGCACATTTGGCCATATCGTCACCCAAGAGCAGACTTTTCTCACTTCACTTTACCGAATCATCAAAACATCCGCCTGCACAACTTTGCGTCAGGAACGCAATACCTCCCTCCGCCGCTATCGAGCTTAGGTATGGCATGACAGAAACAAACCCCATTGCCGATGGCCGCCTGGGGTAGAATGGGCAGGCACGGGCCACTGGCCATTGCTGCCTTCCTCGAAGCAAAGTAATTGGCTAACAACTGACACCTCAGGCACCCCTGCAGAAATCGCACCTGAGTCACCCAAATTTCTGCGGCTCTACGTGAACTTTCCCTCCTGCTTCCCCAGAGCCGACCGACGCGTCGCCCCATCGACTTCACGAGCTCCGAACGAACGAACGCTGATCCCGACGCATCGGAAAACACAACGCGAGGCATGGTATAGAACCGAAACAGGTCGGCGCACAACATCGGAGGTGCCAGAGGGTGGATATTCGTGCAAGCATCGACAACATGGGCGCCGACACTCCCAAATCCCCTCCTCGCAGTGAGGAGGCGCGCGATGCTCAGGACGACGAGCAAATCGAGAAGACTCTCGCGAAGTTCCAGAATGGCGAGGATATTGGAATTAAAATCGATGACACACCTTTCGACCAGTCTGGGAAGGCTGACGATGCCCAAGACTTCGAGGATATCAGTGACGACGATCTTCCGGAGGAGGAGGAAGGCAACGCTGCCACTTCCTTGTCCGTTCCAGGTCTGACAGATGACGGAGGTACGAGTAACGACACCGACGACTTGTTTGGCGATGGACCATCTTCCCCGATTGAAGTCCCTGGTCCGCCATCGCCAGCTCCTCACGTTCACGATCCCGACGATGCCGATCCATCACGATACCGCGACATCAACTTCGATCCCGAACCTGGCTACGAAGCTGCCAACCAAGATCCCGAGATTCCCGCTCCAGCTGAGACTGCTGAAGATTTGGTCAAGCAAGCCTGGCCGACTTGGGAGAAGGGTGTGGTTTTGAAATGGAACGAACTCTTGCCTCCCAAGAAGGCCCGCTGGATTGAGAAGAAGCCCACCAAGAAGCCGAAGACCCTCATCTTCTCTAAGCTCACTCTGGATCTTGCCGCCGATCAAGAGAAGCTTTTCCGCATCCCCGGACCCGCGACTGTGACTCGTAAGCAGAGACGCATCGACGATGAGTCTAGAGGGCTCATGCCTTGCGCTCCACAAGAGTCTTCAGACGAGGCTGAGGCTGAAGAGTTTAATCTGGAGCAAGAGTCCGATTCGGAAGCAGTGGCGGGATTTACGCTTCAAGATATTGAGATGGTTTGCGACGACTGGTCCATCCGCATCGAGCAGGCTGAGCAAGACTTCCACGACCAACAAGCGAAGGAGGCTGCAGTTGAGGCAGCCGCGGCCGCCTCTGCCAAGCGTGCTCATGATGATGCGTTTGACTTCGACTGGGAGGCTGAGTTCCTCGAAGATGAAGAACCAAAACCGCCACCAAAGAAGAAGGCGCGTCCGCCACCGCCAAAGGGCTTACCAGAGATCCCTCGATTCACAGCACCATCCTTCGACTCGTTTGAGGATGTGACAAAGCGCGCCTCCAAGCGTGTTATTCTCGATCTGAACGACCCTTATCTTCTCCTGGAAGAAGCTGAATCACAGCGTGGCCCCAAGCGTCAACGCGTGGAGCACAAGATGACGCGTATGGCGAACGGTCACCTGAGACCCGACTTATCCTCTCGCTTCAATATGTCCAATGACGATGCGTACGAGGCGCTCAAGGAGAACCACCAACACAAGGTCAGGGCAACTCTGGGGAATCTTGCCGTCGAGCACAGTATGCCTGCGCTTAAACTGGCTTGGCCGTTCTACAAGGTCAAGCTGGACATTCGACGCGATGGCTTCCACCGGCCTCATTTCAAATTTGGAAAGCATGAACGTCAGACGGTCAGGTTCAGCAAGTTGGGTTTCCATAAGCGCAAGACCATGAAGGGGAAGGCTCATGAGGTCTTCAAAACCACCAGGGACTTGGGCATCACGGATAATTCTACGGCTGTGCTCTTCGAGTACTGTGAGAGAACGCCACCCGTCCTCTCCAACTTTGGCATGGGAAACCGTGTCATTAACTATTATCGCAAAAAGAAGGTTGATGACGAAGAGACGCCACCAAAGATGGAGATTGGTGAATCGCACGTCCTCTTGCCCGAAGACAGATCGCCTTTCGCCATCTTCGGTGAGGTTGAAGTCGGCCAAACGATGCCTACTTTGCACAACCAGATGTACCGGGCGCCCATCTTCAAGCATAAGCCGCGGTCCACAGACTTCCTCTGTGTCCGCAGCTCAACGGGCGTCGACGGAGCCAACTGGTACCTACACAAGATTGATCATCTTTACGTTGTTGGCCAGACTTTTCCTAGTGTTGAGGTCCCCGGCCCTCACTCCAGAAAGGTCACGAATGCCTCGAAAAACAGAATCAAGATGATTTCGTACCGCATGATGAGGAGGAACGAGCACAACTTGGTGAACTTATCAGAGGTGACGAAGCATATTGCCGAGTCCACGGACGCTCAAAACCGGCAAAAACTCAAGGAGTTCCTATCCTACGCCAAAGTAGAGAAAGGACTTTGGGGCTTGAGACCCGGGGAGACTCTTATGGATGAGAACTCAATACGAGCGATGATCAAGCCTGAAGACGTCTGCCTGATTGACGGTATGCAGCTGGGCATGCAGATGCTGGAAGACGCTGGTTTCGACCCTAACAACGTCAACTTGGAGGACGATAACGAAGAGGTTGCCGAGGATGAGGACGACGATCGCACGGGCGCAGGCACTGCCAAAGGTAGTAAGAAGGCTGCCGAGAAGAACGAAGAAAAACTGGCAGACAAGATGGCGCCATGGAAAACCAGCAAGGCTTTCATCGATGCGTGTGCTGGCAAGGCCATGCTCAAGCTTCACGGACAAGGAGACCCGACTGGCCACGGCCTTGGATTCAGTTTCATCAGGACTTCCATGAAGGGCGGCTACATCGAGACTGTCCAGAAAGGTGGATCCCACACCACTGCAGCTGACGCCATGGCAGCCCACCCTGATGCACAGCGAAAGGCGAACAACGGCCACGCTTACAACGTCAAGGAGCAAGAAGCCATGTACAGAAAAGGCATTCGCGAGATTTGGGACAAGCAAAAAGACAGTTTGGAGGATGGCACACAGAAGGACGATGACCTCGTGGTCCCCCTGCCACCAGACGAAGACGACCGATTCAACCCCCAACAAGCCCAGACCCCCGCCCATCATGCCGACGAAGGAATGAGTCAAATTACCGGCCTGACGACATCAACTAGCCGGAACCAGCGAAGGAAACTCAAGATCACCCGAGAAGTTCTCAATGATCAAGGTGCTGTCGAGCAAAAGGTCATCATCCTTGAAGACCCTGTGATAATAGACCGTTATATCAAGAGAAAGAAGGAGTTGGAGTTGGAGGATTTCAAGTACGAACTCCCACCACGATTTCCCCCTCCTCATCCCTTTTCAGGTCTACTATTCAACTTTCATGCGCTCCCCGCTCACATAATCTCGTGTTTAGTATCTACGAAGGACGGCCGACTGGTGTCGCAGATGACGACCGCCGTCGCCTGGTTGAGTAGGCATTATCCTTCCGTAGATGCTGGACACTTGATTGACCACCTAGCAGGATTGATAAGGAGCTTGAACGGCTCAACCGAAACAAACAGCGACGCATCGGACGAGAGCAACAAAAAGGACTCCACCGTTCCAAGAGTGGGCTCGACGCCGGGTCCCCCGAAGCAGACCGGGCTGCTACCGGCACAACCCGAAAGTGCGCCAATTGTGGACAAGTCGGACACATCAAGACAAACAAAAAGTATTGCTCCCTTTGCTTTCCCTCTACCTCCCCGTCCCAGTTCAGATCTCTGGACCATGTTCAGACGTGGGGGAAACAATCGCTGGGTTCTCAAGCGGGAGCTTCTGTTAAGGGCTCGCCGGCGAAGAGCAGCCCCGCCAAAGCGAAAAGGCGACGAGACTCGGAAGCACAAGAGCCGCGACCGCTCAAAAGAAAAGGCCAATAGGCGAGCATCGTCCAAGGGACAGCCAAAACAGCCCCCAAAGCCAAAAGCAAAGAAGTTCAAGTACAACAAGTACACTTCCAAGCCCTATTGGCACAACAGCAGTATGAGCACCAAGGTCATATAAGCATATGTTCTCTTGGCCATCACCACTCCATGTTTGTTGGCGGTTTTGAGTTATTTCCACCGTTTCCTCTCATTGCCTACTCAATTTGCTTTCTCTCTCCTCTCTTTCCCCACTTCCCCCATCAGCTTAACCTCATTTCCATACACACGCATACTAACCCTCGCAAAGGCTTTGTCCTATGCTTAACGGCACGATGAAGACCGACAACGGCATTGCAGAACATGGCGGTTTCGGTACCTACAATGCCCCAGCTGCTGGAGCCGGTTCTCCTGGGCAATGAACAATTCGAGACGACGTCGAGTTCGGACGGCGGAAAGTGGCAGTTGTCAGAGGCTACAACGGACCAGACGTTGCAGCGCAGGACACTAAAATACGGTTGAGACGACAGACAGCCTCCGAACCGGACGGCCGGTAGCTGTTTCCGGCGCTTACCAATTAATCAACAGCAAATGCTGCAGCTTGGTCGCCTAACTACCGACGAACGTTCCAGAACGGGGAAGAACCCCACTCGCAGCCATCCCCGGTTGCTAACAATAGGGCTATGCCAAGCGATTTCACGCAAGGGGTTCAGGCCCAATGAACAGGCTGGGAGTTCATGTTGAAGAAGGTTGGGCTAGTTGCGAGCGTTTGGACCAGAGAAATCTCATACAAGAGGTCGGACCGAACAATCCAAAATTGGAACCACCATGCATTCCGACAATCAAGGGGGAAAGCAAAAGGGTGTGTGTACTATGACAAAAACAAAATTCTGGGAGGTGAATGAAGCCTTGAGCTTGGGGGGTTTGGAATGGCTTGATCAACATTGTCAACTGGACGGGGGCAGATTAATGGACTGCTCTTCACGTCACGGCAAGCTAGGGAAAACGAGGGCCGAATCGAATGGGGGAAGAGGGGTTTGGCAAAGCGGTTAAGCAAAGTATGTAATGATGCATCGGCACGGCGTCTGGTGTTGTTAAGTTTAGCTACAGCCGCGAAAGCGTGGGTAGCTCTCCATCACAAACTCGGAAATTCATTTCAACAAGTCAACAAGTGGCTACTATTGCTGTCTTCTCCGCTCCGGTGATGTGCGTCGTTGCTCTGCAGTGAGATGTGTATGTGTGTGTGCAGGTCCAGCTTACGTTTGTCCCGAGGTTGGAGAACCCCCGGTTGAACGTTGCATATCACAGTCGGGGTAGCTACCTAGTCTAGTGTGGGCGGTTGGGTGAATGGGGGACAGGAGGCTCTTGGAAGAGGCTAGCATGGTCCGATGATTACATGGAGGTTGAGAGGAGGTAAGGTAGGTAGATGGGTAGGTAGATGGGTAGGTTGCCGGGAGACTAGATGCGGCAAAGATGAACATGGATTGGAGAGACGGGAAGATCAAAGACAGGTTAAGGGTAAATACAACAAGGGTGGGGAGAGAAGGGGAGGGGGGAAAGAATCCGGGATTGTTGTATCAATGTGTCTGATGGCCAGAACTCTCGTCGCGCGTCAAGTCTCCTCAGATTGGCGAATCGGGCAAAACGCGGACGTTGACCGGGCTAATTTAGGGAGATTGATACTCTGTAGACAAGGAACAAACCTCGAACGAGGGAACGTCAAAAGGGGGGGATTGGATGAGGGACACACAGATTACAATAGGTTCCAACAAAGGTGCATTCTAGACGCCCGAAACGATCAAGGCTTTTTTGTTTGGAAAAGGATAGGTCAGGCCTTGTTTCCGTTGGGGGTGTTTGTTCCGGCTTGCCAGATCGATGTTGCTTTGGGCCTTTTCTTGACGTAGGTGTGAAATCCATCCGTGCAAGGTTTGAGGGGGGTTGAGAGCCGTTTGTGGTTGATTAGAGAAAGGGAGGGCATGGGGGAAAGGGGGGGGGAAGTCAAAGTCAGATGAGAAGAAAAAGTGTGGATTGGATGGGATGGGGGACGCGGTGGGATGCGTGTTGCAATGAACATGTGGTTGGTGACGATGATGATGATGATGGGTTTGGTGGTTGGGGTTATACAAGGGCCTCCTCAGAGAGACGTCTGCCAAGCCAGGTGTGTGAGAGCATGGTTTCTCCAAAACCCAGCCTAGTTTTGCGGCGCCAGAAACATTGGACAAGACGTACAAGAGGTGGAACAGATGAGTTTTACCCACCGAAAGCCCAGATGTAAAGTCGGGAAAGACATGTAATCGTGAAAGGGCCAGGGGGGATAATTGGCTCCCGAGATGCGCTGGTGCGTGCGTGCGTGCGTGGTTCGAAAAGTCCTTTTGGCTTTTGGGGGGAAGAGAAACGGTCGCCGGGTCGCGTGGCTGCGGAGCAAGAGGTAAGCATATGCACGCCAAGTGTTGTGCTAAAAATAAACCTATTTTTAGACGACTTCGCCAGGGGGGCACGGGGGAGGGGAGAAGCACCTCTGCACGTCTGCACCACCAACCTGCATAGGGCTTCTTGGATCATAGGGTGCGTTTGGCCAATCGGCTTAGGATTTGCACCCAGGAACACCTTCGGTCTCTTGCTAGCCTCGAAGAAACATGCATGTCGAGCTCACACCGTCACAACCCAGAGAGAGAGGGAAAGTGATGTGTGTGTGTGGATGGATGGGATACAAGAGGCTCTTTTGCGCTTCAGAACACGGCAAGTTTTTTGATAACCTGACCGGGGTGGGTACACCGTGCCGGAGGGGAAAGAAGTGAAGTCAAGCATTCTCGTTCGTTCTGCCCAACCCCCATCCCCAAACCCGGCTCCGAGATGTTGGACTAGCGTCATGCTCGTTGGGAATGGGCCGGCGCTTAACTTAATGATATGGTTAAATTTCGATTTAGAAATGAAAAAAGGTGGGATGGCGTGTTGCTGGTTGATGATGGGACGGAGACATAATTGTGAATTTTGCGACGACAGCGGTTATCGGCTCTACCTTGCTTTAGCTTGATTCTTTCTCCGGACGAACTAGACGACTGGTGCTCTGTAGACGGACGAACCAATTTTGTGACGAGACGGAACATCCGACATGGGTTTACTCGACTTGTCGATGTCGCCGTACGGCGTACGCAAGATGAAGTTGCTAATTCGGGATATCTTGATCACATCTCTGGCGAAAGGGCCGGATTGTAGGCGCGCATGAGGAGATCGAGAGGAAGAGGGGAGTTTCCGAGTGGTTACTTGGTCTCTTTCTTGGGTCGTCTTCTTCGCTCGCAGTCATACAATATCGGTAGCAGACTTGTCTGGACGAGGAGACTGCGTACCATAGATTCCAATGAGAGGTTGTTTCCTGGAGAAACAGAGCTTGGCAAAGGGCTGTTCTGGATTGTTATCAGTGATTCCAAAGCAAAGGCCCCCGTCGCCGCGAAGCTTGTCAGCCAAAGACAATGGTTCAAGCTGGAGATGCCCAGCAGAAGTGGGGGAGTTGGTGTTTCTCGAACGTCCAACCATCTCTGGGCGTTCTGGAAAAAAGGGCCCTGACATGACCCAGGGCAACCATTGGGAACTCCAAGGGAAGATTGTCATCATGGACGCGGGGTATCGTTGAGGGTGGGGACCTGATCTAATTCGAGATGATGGGCGACTGGGTTCGTCAAACAGGCGCGGGATGTATGTAGGCGAGGGAGGGGGGCCTAGATGCATGTGAAGCGAGATCTACAGCTGAGAACCGTGGGAGCGGACGGACGTTGTCAAAATGGCCCTGACAGTGACCGGTTTGGCAGCTGTACCGTACGGATACAGACAGGCACCTTCGGCGGGAATGCCGCGTGCTGGGATGATATGTAGGGTTCCCTTTGAAGCCTTGTCCTGTCGGTGGAATAGTCTGCCGAGGGGATGGTTGGTATTAGTCCCCTCTCCCAGTCCACCTCTTGTTCACGCTTGAGATGCGGGAGCATGGTCATGGTCCACCCGTGACCCCAGGGAGGGGGTTCGACGGCTAGGTACCTTGCATGGGTGAGGTGGTGATTGGGACCTTGAAAAGTGCCCGTTTGGCGATGGCCTCGCTTTGTCGTCGGCCAGGGGAGGGAGAGGGCTCTCAGACTCTGACAAAGGGCTAGGTGTAAGAAAAGGGGCAGATAGACAACAGGAGCGTAGAAACGCAGGACCCGTTGACGCCAAGGCTGGACCTCGAACTCAATTGTCCAACCTGAAGTAGGGTACTGAATGCCGGGACATGATATCGGGAGGGCTGAGTCGGTTTCGGCACAATGGAGAATGGATGACAGATTCCCGTGCTTGTGGTCCCTGGAGTCTTGGTGTAGGTACGGATACACAGTACCTAGGCCATTGAAGGAGGGCCGCGGTCTGTGCTGAGCATCACGATTCATAGTGGCAGGTTCCTTCTGTGGGTACCCGCGGCGTCCCACCGGTTGTAACTTGTGCCTGGCCCTGAATGCAAGTGATGGTTGCGTTCCTGCGCCGGCGGCGATGGCGGCGCGGTCGGAGGTTGCGGTGGGAAGGAGAGGCTCAATATGCGGCCCGGGCACGTTGTTTGCTTGGGTGCTTGGTGTACTTGATGACGGCCTCCATCCCTACCTCATGGCCTTACGGCGTTATGCTTCTGCTTAGGATGTGCAGAGTAAGCCGTTAGGTCATCGGGCGGACGGGGACTTGTGCGCAAGTGTGGGTGGTACCGGCAGGGCGAGCGAGGGATGGACGGCGATGTTGGTGAGTGGTGATTGTGTGAATCGGTGATGGGTTGTAACTTGTAACTCGTGGGATATGAGCAAGGTCCAGGGAGGAGTCCGGTTCTGAGTTCCGGCGCATGTCGAGTCCACTTGGAGTGACCAGGTCGAGGCTTGCGGAATGTCAATGCTCTCCGCTAGAGATGGTCTTGGGGGTCTCGATCTTCAGACTTTCTGGGTCTTGGTGTAGTCTGCTCGTAGTCTGCTCGTGGTATTACAGAGTAGGTTCTTCGCGCAATGAGAGAAAAGAGGCGGTAGAAACTATCCGTACCTGAGGTACTTAGGTAAGGTAGGTAGGTAGTGTAGAGAGAAGGTGAGGGAAGTGTCGCCGGAATCATCCTCGCAGTTTCCGCAAGAGTTGTAAAGCCGCAGACCGCACGCACCTCACGTCGGCTAGACGTCAGATGTCTCGACGACACCTGCCACATGTATCCTGTCTGCAGTGTCTCACTAGCGGTAGCGCCGTCGAAGTCGGGGCCGGTACCTTAGTTGGGTGGGGTGGGTACAAGTGGGAGACCCACCAGACCCTGAGACAGTGCGCAGGGTGTTGGTGGATTTTGCGTTTCGGCACGGTAATGGCCAGCAGAAATCAGCAGGCGCCACACAGTGCTCGCGACCAGTCTCAGCTCTTGACCTCATTCCCTGCCTCCTCAGATTGTTGTTTCACGAGCGTCCGCAACGGCCACCAGGACCCCTAGTCATCAGAACGCACGCACCAAGAGTCCTCGCGACCTTGCCTTGTCTGTGGTGGTGAGGACGAAGGTGAAGTGCTACGGCGCAAGTAAGGTGAGAACAGGACCGGCCTAGTATCTACCTAGGCTCCTAGGTTACTAGGGAGGCTTCTTGCATAGACACTCAGGAGAGGTGAGCCCGGCAAGTATGGTTGATGTGTGCCGACTGGTCCACTCACATCCAACTGCAATGGAATTGGCAGGGCCTGGAGACATTACACTAGATACTCCGTAGACATGGAAGAAGAGAGAGGCCCGCTGGCCCGCCGCCGACTCGCCTTGTGCTTTCTGCTTCTGGACGCGGCAGACGGGAGCAATCAGCGACCTTTCCTTACTCAGACTCTCCCAGTAGGGGTATGTATACCAACAGGTAGGTACTCCGTAGTGTAAGACGGAACAGTGATCAGAGACCAACCTGAAGTGCCTACCTTAGGTGGAAAGAGCAAGGGTTTATTGGAGTACACCGGACCCCCCCGCCCCGTTTTCCAACATCATCCACTCTTTTTTTTTTTTCTCTCTCTCCCGTTCCAGGTCCCTTTTTTTTTTCTTCCTCGTCCAGTCCAGTCGCTCCTTCCCCCGGTCCACAGTCACGTCCTCGGCCCAGGATTCGTTCGTTCATCGACCCCCATCCCCTGTCACCCACCTTCCGTCCTCGTCCCCCCTCCCCCTTCCCTTCCCGTCGTCTCCAAACTGCTGGCTTGCCGCTGCTGCTGATGCTGCTGATGCTTGCGCTGCCGCACTGCTTCTGCTTTGCTGCTCCCGCTCCCCAATTTCCACCTATTCCATCTCTTTGCCGCATCCTCACTGGACGGAAGTGCTCACTAACTCATTTACTGCTGCTGCTGCTGCTACACACTCTTCGTCACTGGGCTTGTCCTGCCTTGCCTTGCCTTGCCCCCATTGCTCCTGCTACTACGACCTTACCTTACACCTGAGGTACTGCACTCCATACCGGGCTGGCTGCTGCACCTAATACTGTTACTTCCCCCTCCACCACCCACTCCTATTCTTTTTTTCCCCCTTCCTTCCTTCAACTGTCCTGCCTTCCCGCACCCAAAAAGTGAACACGATCGCGTCTATTATTAGAATCATCCACGCCAGATTCAGCCCCATCGACCTGCACCTCACATCGCCTGTCCATCCCAGAACCTGTCGCATCTGCTCTTGTAATGGGATCAATGTACGTTCTTGATGCGTCGTCTTCTCACCTCCATCCCCTGTTCTGACAGCCTTCACCTCCCACCGCTTGTCGTAGACCGTTGCTCCCGGGATGCGCTGCCTTGTCCCATGCAACCACTGACTGACGCATCGCCAGTTCGGAACCACTGCCCACGAGCCAGCCCATCTAGATAAAAGCGATCAGCCCTCCCCGGCTTAGCTTTTGTTTCCACCTCGCTTCCTCGACCAGCCAAGCTAGTCGCTGGGATCAGATATATCCAGCTCGAGTCCCTCCTCCGACGAGCTTCAACCCGTCTCCCGCCTCCTCGAGACCCTCACCTTCACCCTCACCTTCACCCTCACCATCGCCTAGGACCAGTCGACCCTACATCGCGACTGCAAAGGCTGAGAACCTCGCCGACGACGCCGCCGCCGCGACATCGCTGATCGGCAACGAAGTCGCTCGTCTCGACAACGTCTTCGCCTCCATACAACGCGTTTCGCTGCCTCACACCCGTCGACAGCCCACCCAAAGCATCTGATTCAAGATGGGACGCAGAAAGATTGAGATCAAGGCCATCAAGGATGACAGGAACCGCTCTGTGTAAGCTTGCGCCCTGACTATCCCTCGCCATCATACCCTTGGACTTTTCGCTGACTGTCGCGTCGCGTATAGCACCTTTCTGAAGAGAAAAGGCGGTTTGTTCAAGAAGGCGCATGAGCTTTCCGTGCTCTGCTCCGTGGACGTCGCTGTCTTTATATTCGGCAGCAACAAGAAGTTGTATGAGTATTCTTCCACGGATATGCGGGAGATGATCACCAGATACACATACGTGAGCTTCTCCATTCCTTCCAGGTCGCGAATGCGTAACGCTAACCCTGAGACAGCATGGCGGCCCGAATGAGCACAAGGGCCCTTCAGACTTCAACGGAGGCAACGACGAGGACGAAGATGAGGATCCTGAAGGCACGCCGCCCCAAGAGTCTCACATGATTCCGCCTCAATTTCAAGGACAAGCGCCTTTCCCTCATATGCGACACCACACTCCCTCAGCTTCACCTCCGATTCCTAATGGCGTGCCTTTCCCGCAACACCATGGCCTTCCCGTGCAGCGCGGCCACACCCCGCAGCCTGGCATGGGATCACGGCCTGGTTCTCGACAGGACATCCGCCGGATGGGACCGAACATGGGCCCTCAACCCGTCGGTCCTCCCGGATCTCAGCAGCCTCCCGTCAATGGATTTGCCTACATGCCCAACCCCGCCATCTACAATCCCCAGAGCCAGCCCACTATGCCGCCAAACATGCCTCACGGACTCCCCCAGCAGTACCAGCAACATGGACCTCAATACCCCTCGTACGCGCCCAACCATCATCCCCCGCACATGCAACAGCATATGGAGGACCAGCGCCGTTCCATGCCGCCAAACTATCCGCAACAGCAGGGTCCGCAAGGACCTGGGCCTCAAGTTTCTCGGATCTCGCCGTCTCCGCCACAGCCTCCCACTCAGCAATTGCCGCCGCAACCACCTCACGTCTCACCCCCGCCGCCACAGCCACAGCAACTTGAGCCTCAACAGCACCAGCAGCAGCAGCAGCAGCATCCGCATTCGTCGCCCCAGCCTCAGCAACACCAACAGCCGCAACCACCTCAGTCTCAACACCAACAGCAGCCGCAACAACCTCAGCCTTCGCCGCCGCAGTCTGAAGAGATGCCTGCGCCGATGGAGCCACGATCTGAGCTGCCTCAAAGACCTCAGCCGCCTCTGCTCAACACTGACAGCGCGATCAAGAAGCTTCCGCAGCGCAAGCAGCACAGCATCTTCACTCCCATTGACGAGAACCGCTCCATCCTGTCTCAGCACTTGGCTTCATTCGCCTCTGAGCAGAGCATAAAGGCAGAACCTAACCGGCCCCCGTTCCCTGATCATCAGAGCAACATCAAGGTTGAAGGTAACCGCTCTCAGTCAGTTGATGTTGGCGCAGTATCTCGGACCAATGGTTCCACGACTTCTCCGCCCATGCCTCCGCGCGCCAGCACTCAATCTCTAAACAAAAGCCGCAACATCTCCGTATCGTCAATCCCAGAGACAATGTTTACTCCGCCATCTCGCACTAATAGTATAAAGCTTGGTGGTGGTGCGCGTCCCCGTTTGAGGGTGGAGATTCCCGACGAACCTTCGGATGGCGGTAGCGCAACTGCCGAGTCAAACTCTCCTCGTAACTCGACAGATACCACAACCCAGACGACTCGGCGCCATGCATCCGACTCGCACTCTTCCGGCATGGTTCTGCCGCCGCCATCCCCGTCAGCTCAAACGCTCCTCTCAGCTGGCGCCACGGGCCCGCCAAACCCGTTTGCTCGCCCACCCCCGCAACAAAACAACAATATGAACATTGACACACCCGTTTCCGCCCTTCCGTCCCGATTCTTAAATAACGAATTTCTGCCCAGCCCGAGCAGCTTTTATCCGGAATGGTATGCTCGTGGCGGCAGCGATAGTAACACACTGCCCAGTCCGTTGAACTTTGCGACTCCAGTCGTTGGTTCCGGTCCTAGCTTCTTGCGAGACGATAATCAGACCTCGAAGCGCAAGAGTCCTGAGATCAGCGCCAACGGTCCGCACGACGGTCCTGAGTCAGGAAACGAACCCAAGAGGATCCGGGTAGATTCTTGATTTCAAGTTTCTCTTCTTTTTTCGACGCCTTATCTGTACCATTCATCTGCATTCTGGCCTCCTTCAGACCATGTATGGAGTGCACTTGGTTCTATGATACCTCTTTCTTTTCACTTCACGGCATTAGCGTCACGTAAGATGTTTAGTTCACCTTCTCTTCTATATCTCTGTGTTTGGCGGAGGATCATGCTGCATTGCTAGGCGCAACATCGGCCACGGACAGGGTTTGATTCATTTTCTTCTTCTTTTCTCTTTCTTCATTCGGACTGATGAGCACTGCTCTTCGTCTTCGAAACGGCTATGGGAGACTGATGTGCACACGGACATGTGAGATGACTGGAAGCATGGAAAACTGGCCTGCAGCAGAAGGTGGAGGATCTCGGGGCGTTTGGCGTGATTTTTGTAGATTACTGAAGGCAATGGCTGAATAGTGGGAATGAACTGTTGATCTACAATCGTGCGTGTTCATCCAGACCCGTGATGTGTGTATAGAGATTAGCCAAGATCTTGGCGCTAGTGACTTTGAGACCGTCTCGCGGCGCGGCCCGTGGATAACGCGAGCTGAATGTGCCCTTTTGATACGGCATGGTGACATCCGTTTTCATGGTAAGCATGACATAAACTGACTTCAAATCTGAAAGTCGAAAAGTGGCGCGTGGGCGCGTCTGCTTGCAGGTCCGCAGAGGCAGCCTACGGTGTAAAAAAGCATCCAGCTACACCTACCTCACCGAACAAGTCACGGCCCCAGTCAAATGCGGCTCCTTCCACAACACATTCTGTGACAAGCACAGGCGACGCGCACGATTCAGGAAGGAAGGAAAAAAAAAAAGACAAGGGCTTATCTTTGCTGGGGAAAGGGAAGAGGGCACCGAATCAAAAAAGGCAATGTTTACGCCGGCAGCGAAACGCCGACGTGTCGACGCGGCAAACGAGACGCTCCGGAAACCTTTTAGGTCGCCCCTGGTGCGGGACCGAGACCCAGGCCCAGGCCCGGATCGGAACCGGGAGGGCATCACCGCGGCGGCGGTAGCGTCATCGCCATCTGCGAGGGTGACCACCGGCGTGAAGACGGGAGGAGTAAGCGGTCTTGCCACGACCACGACGACGACACCACGGCAAGGAGGCACTTGGAAGGCGACGCCCGCGAAGCAGAAACAGACGATCAGCACGCCTACGCCTACGCCTGCACGTCGGCCCTTTAGCGTTCCGCGACCTCATATCTCGCAGACGGGGGCTTCGCCTTCGCCACTGCGGACGACGGCGGCGGCTGGGTCCTTTGTTGCTAGGAGGACACAAGCTCCCGGGCTCGTTGGTGGTAGTAAGAAGAGTGAGAGGGAGGCGGAGGGCAGGGAGGAGATTCTGCGGCAGGCTGAGCGGATCCGCGGCGTTGGGATCGGTACTGTGGGTGGGAAGAGTGCGGGTGAAGGAGGGGAGACGGATGAGGAGCTTGTCGAGTTGATTGCCAAGTGGAGGGCGGCGAGCCGGATTGCGGCGGAGGAGGTGTTTGAGGGGTCGAGGGAGCGGGTTGAGGGGATGGGAGGGTTGAAGGCTTGGAGGAGGGCGAGGAGGGAGGATGAGGTGAGGTTTAGGGGCATGATGGAGGAGGAGGAGAAGGGTGTTGGGATTGGGAGGGGTTGTGAGGAGTGGGGGGAGGGTGATGATGGTGAGGGTGACGGTGACGGTGAGTGTGAGGGTGAGGAAGAAGAGGAAGAGGAAGAGGTGAGTTATCTTCTTTCTTCGTAAGGAGAAATGGGGAATAGGGGAAGGAGAGGATGAGGTTTTGCTGACTTTTGAGACAGGAGTTCACGATGGGGACGATGCTCCGGAGTATGAATATCGACTTTGAGATTATCGGCTATGATGAGGATATCGGGTGGTGGAGGGACGGGTGATGCGAAGCGGATAGCGGATTTCTTCACTTGCTCGTTTTCTTCTTGCCGTTGTCGTTGGCGATTAGAGACGAGACGAGGCGGACATATCCGTGGTACATGACGACGACGGGCACACGGGTCACAGACTACGTGACGTCTTCATACTAGGCTCGAGGGTTTTTGGCTCATCAGCTCGGGACTCTTTTGGCCGATTTTTCTTTTCACATCTCGGATTAACACAAGCTGCGAGGCGATGGAAAGCACAGAAAAGAGGAACATAAGCTGTGTTAGTATCCTTCCGCGGCCGCAGGTGCTACAGAGAATATGCTGCTCGCTTGCTTCCTTCCTTCTTTCCCTTCTTGGTGTTTTACCTACTCTGCATCTAGCCCTGTTGATGGAGTCTCTCTTTTTGGGGTGGGGTGGGGGGGGGGGGGGGGGGGTGGCCAGTGTAGGCAATTCGGTCTGAACGTGGAAGGCGGCAAAAAGGGTGCCTGTGCTTTTTTTGGCGAGTGGTTGCCGGCCAAGCTTGTTTCTTCAACATACTATGGTGGTAGCAACGCCATTCTGAAGACATGGTGGTGTAGAGGACTGAAGATATTGAGACGTGGGACGATGTTTCTACAAGGATATACCCCCGACTGATTCTCATTGCATGGCGGTGTTGGCCTCACGATCAAGCTTCATCTTTACGCTTCTTCTTTTTCTGCTAAGCCTTACTGAGGGCCCGTGTTGGTTTGTGTGTGTCAGTGTGTACCTTACCACCTTGAGCGAGGGCGGGAGTGATGATGATGAAGTGTGTAAGTGAGCCGACTTCCAGGCCCCCCCCCCTTCCATCCATCCATCACTCACTTACCTACACTGAACAAGCTCACACCCACCATGTTCGTTCTCGCCTTGCTGAACCATGATCGGCTGACGAGAGTTGTGGCTGACGCAAGCCGATTGATCCGATGTTCCCGTTGGGGGTTCAGTATCCGTAATGTAGAGTTTTTGTCGAGGTTTGGATAGTAACGGTCGGATATTGGGTCTGGTCGCTTATGGTAAGTTTGGGCTGCCTTACGTACGCCAGCTATTTTCTTACTCGCCCTGGGTTCTTACGAGTGGTATTACGCGTTATTGCAAAGTCAGATAGAATTCCTCTCTGAGTTTTTGGCTTACGGATATGTGGTAGGGGAGCGAGGATGAAGGAAAAAAGGAACTCGTAAACGGAAGCATTGCGTGATGCTTATAACCGAGAACGAAGATATGAAATGTGCCTCCGCTGGCGTTTACGCGCGAAACGGGTTCCGATGAACTCAACCTCGTCGTGTTCGGCCGGTGGGATTGGGTAGTTCTCGACTCTTAAGCACCAGCAGGGCCATCACTTGTCTGATATGGCTGAAGGTGGATGATAAGGTAGCGGGGCACAGTGAGCGAGAGCGAGGACGGGGGTCTCGGACAGTCAATGAGTGAGTTGGTTTGAAGCACGACAAGTCGCCGCCTGTTCGGTTCCCCTATCTGAAGAGCCTATACCACGCCGTTGGTGACCTGTTCTGGACAACTATGCTGGGAAGTAAGGTGAGGTGGTATCGATAGCGGGTTCACTTGGAGGCTGAGAATTCGGGGCGTTCATATCCAGAGTCCAGTGTCTCGTGTACGATGAAAGCGTCTCGCCTTGTGTTCGCAATGCGTGATGTGGTGGTCTGTTGTTGTTGTTCTTTCCCTCTCAGTACGGACACACTACAGATACACAGGCTGTCAGAAGGGACCTCTAAGCCTTCTCAATCACCAATGGGTGATTGGGCACTATTTGTCGTAGGGTGGTTCGCCGTTCGGGACCCGAGGTGGATGAAACGACTCTGATGCTTCAGCGCTGCCGCAGATTTGCACGAGCCGCCACCTCAATCCCCCCCCTCTCCACCTCACGCAGCTGCAGTGCTGCTGCAGCTGCTGCAGCGCTCCCCGACGCGGGCAACGAGCGAACGAAGAGCAGTGTCCCAGTGGTCCCCACTACCTTAAGGTACCCGTGGACGCGTGTGGGGCCACTGTTGACAGCGACACCTCAGCCAATTGGCCCGGTTTCCACCCTTCCAACCTCCCAAAACTCGCTCTCCCCTGCACCAGCCATGCGTCGTGGAGAACAGAGTTAACAATGCAGGCCGCCGACCGACCACCCCCCATGTCCGAGCAAAATAGGTAGCAAATTGGGGGAACAGACTGAACAGAACAGGAAAACAGAGAGAGGGGACTGGACGATCCAAGCCGGGGGGTGTCATTTCTTGTATCAGTGGTTGGGGCTGGGCTGGCAAGCAGGCAGGCCTCCCTCTCCCGTATTGTTTACTCCAAGTTTCCTCCTACTCTATTTGTTCTGGGCCAGTTTTCCTGCTGGTTCAAATATATCATCTACCCGTTGCACTTCAAAAGTCTTGGCAACAAAGCCAAGTTCCTTCACCACAACATACTCCGTACACACTCACAGCTACCCTTGCTCCGCGGTCGTTTTTGTGCCAATCTTTAGCAGCAGGGTGTCTTATCTCTCGACTTGTCTCGTCCTCTTTTGGCGTAGTCGATCTGCAGCCTTTTCCAGCAATACTTCGTCACCTTTTTCATCAAAAGGCTTGGGGTTCCAACCCGAAATAGACTCGACGTCTACCAGTACTGAGGGGAACTGGATAGGAAGGGAAGAAAAAAAAGGGGGGAATACGCAAAGGGGCGAACCGCACTCCTACCATAGTCACATTCACAGAAGATGGACGCCGCCTACTTGAGCACTCGCCAGACCGTGGTCAACTCGAATGACCTCCCTCCCGGCTGGGTTATACAGAATGGACGAGCGATTCCATGGTGGTACAGTCGGGTAAGTTCATCCACAACCAGTCATCACTCTGCGACAAACCTCTCAAGCATACCGTAATCTAACATTACTTCCAAATAGACGGGCGTCATCGTTAAGTGGTCCGTCTTCCTCGGCATGACGACCCTCTTCGCAGCCTTCCTCATCATAGGCTACGCCCACGGCAAGCGCCGCCTCAGAAAGGGCCTCCTGCCCCTGGGCTACCACCGCTGGCTCTTCAGCCGCGCCCAGCTCGCCCGCGTCGACAGCAGGTACGCCTGGCCCGCCGCCACCTACAACACCTACCGCCCCGAGTACTACAACACCCACCCGCAGGCCCAGGGCGGCGGCTACTACGGCATGCAGGGGATGCCGCCCCCGACCTACGATCCCAACTCGGCCCGGCCCCCCATGTACGCACCGCCCGACGGCGGCAGCAAGGTCGAACCGTCGCAGGAGTACGGCGTCACGCCGCCGCAGGCCTCTGTTGCGGCGAACCATACCGGTCAGCCGTACCCGTATAGGGCGCAGTGAGGCAGAGGGCGATCACTGAGGCGGGAGCGGAGGGGAGGGGAGTAGCGTGTGATTTGACGTTGTTGCGATGGCGATCTTTTCGAAGCGTAGGAGGAATATGCATTGCCGCTTAAAGACGAAACAAAGGCGAGATGAGGCTGGAAATCATCAAGACGGGAGTGCGCAGCTGAAGATGGGATTTCACTAGGATGTGATTTCTCCGTCAAAAAGCTGTCAGATCTCACACATCGAGGCTGCATGTCCAAATAGATGGGCCCCTGGATGCTTTTGCAAATAACTGTTGTCAATTGTACAAAGCAGTAACTTCTACCAACACGAATCGAAATGATACCAATGAAAACGCCTAGCTGACCTGGCTAAAGATGCCGGGGGTCTCGCAACAATACGTGCCCATTCGTGACGGCGTAGGGTATCGTCTTAAAATACACAATCATTACTTGCCTTCAAGGGTTCCCTAATCCATATCCATGGCGTCGGGATCGTAGTCTACAGGTACCGACATCCCGGTCGGAGTTTGGGGGTCCGGAATGATGGCGTCTACGGGTTGCTGAGAGACGAAGGGCGGAGGCATCTGCACTGGGGCGCCTCTGCCCTCGCGCTCGAGACGTTGCCTCTCGCGCATGCGGGCGCGTGACTCGACGATGGCCTTGCGAACGCTGTCCTGCTCACGAGGCACCGTCAAGGATGCGGGCTCGTTGTAGAGGACTACCTGCATGCCAGCAAGCTGGCCTTCGTCGTTGGCGAAAATGGAGGGAGGAATGCGCGTCTGGCGGAGGTGCTTCTCAATGTCAGGGAGGAAGACCAGCTTGCCCTCGTCGGGTTCGCTCTCGGAGGAAGACAGTTCATCGTCAATATTGTAGATGTAGACCTTGTGCTTGGAGTCGTCGAGCTGCATCACTTCTTCATCGACGGACGGTTTGCGATCACGACGTCGGCGACGGGTGGTGGGAGATGTGGAGGCTGACGACGAGTCTGCGGGGGTTGGGATGTTTGAAGACGGAGTCGGCTCCTCCACGGGCACATAGAGCTTCTGGCCATTCTTCTCTGCATAATGCGTTAGTATGAAAACGGCAAGAAAGCTTGTCGTGTTGTGGTTGTCGACGTACCTAAATTCAAAAGACTGAGCCTTTTGGACAAACGTTCGTTGTCTTGGGACTCAGCTTTTCGTTTGCGCCTTAGCTGCCTCGCCTGCGGATGCGGATGCTGGTGCTGATCCGCCTCCAGCGCGTGGGAGGGAGATTGGGCCCCGTGCAGTAGCATATTTCGGCGACTTTTGCTGGAACTTTCCCTCCTTCCTCTCTGCCTTTCGTCCAACCGCTTCTTCTGGTGTACCACCCCTATTAGCACTACCAGCTCCCTGTTCCGCAGAGCTGCTGACCGACGACAACGACGACGATAATATTCGGAAACAAGTGCGATGGTCAATTGTTCAAACTCCCGAAGCGGCCACTAGAATCGCAGCAAAAAGAGACACGACAGGCGCAGCTGAGCAGCGGGCGTAACAGAGGTGCTGCCAATCGGGTCCGAGGTTCTCAAAAGTGAGCTTGAGGGAGAACAAGAGAGAGAGAAAGATACGGTACGGCTGATATCGGATCGCCGTTTCCGGAAGGGTCGGGAATATCCCGTCGCAAAGCGAAGAACGCAAGCCCAAAGTCAATCCAAAGTCTCAAATGTCTCTGGTGTGCTAAGGTCTTTGAACGGCGAGAACCGAAAAACAACTTCTCCCAGTGTTGGTTGTCTTCTTTTTACGTTTCGTTGGTAAGAGGAGAGAGAGAGAGAGAGAGAGAGAGAAAGTTTGTGTTTGAATCGGCGAAAAGAAGGGGGAAAGAAGAGGAAAAGAGGAGATCCGAGGCTCTTTCCTGCGCAGATCCAATTCGTCGATATATCTAAGGGTGAGGGGGGAAAGCCTGAAGGAATCGAAGGCGAAGGAAGGATGACCTTCGCTACTACTGCTGCTGTGCTCGTACGAGGGGCGCGGGCGCGTTCTTCTCTGGGGTTCAGCTGTGGCGGACGTAGTAGCCACGAGCATCGGCTGCCACTGCCGGGGAGGTCTGGCGCTTTTGTACTGGCTTTGACTCATTCTTGTAGAAGTTTCCACGACAGGCGCGCCGGACCACCAGCACCAGCTCCAGCGTCCCTGCAACATCCGCAACCACAATCGCACCCGCATCTGCACCTGCACCCGCAACCAGCCCCCCCGCCGCTATCGCTCCAGGCCCAGCTATCACTGGCACGGACGCCGCTGCCCCTCCTACCCCGAAGCAATGCAGCTGCCGCGCTAGCAAGCAGCTCATCCCGCCAAAAGAGTCACAGCTGTGCCGACCCTGATAAAACATCATCCCTCCCCTCATCACCATCAACAAACACTTTTTCCAAGAGGACTCGAGCGTCGGTTGGATCCCAGACAGATACCCACTCACCGTCTGGTCTCATCGCATCGAGTGCTACTTTTCCTTACAGGCGCTTTCACTCTACTTCCACCTTGCCCGCTGCAGTCATGGCTGACCCAAAGTGGCCCGGCGCCGTTGTGCGCAAGACTTTCCTCGAGTTCTTCGAGAAGAGGGGCCACACCATCGGTATGTTATCACTGACTTCCCCCTTTGTACTCAGCAACACGGCGCGATAGGGCAATCTGCCTCTTCTATGCTCCGTCTAGACATGGCGCTCCTCAGTTTGGCTTCAAAGATACCAATTGGCTAACCATCTCTGCTTTATCTCAGTGCCGTCGTCTTCTGTCGTCCCTCACAATGACCCCACCTTGCTCTTCACCAATGCGGGCATGAACCAATTTAAGCCCATTTTCCTCGGAACGATCTCAAAGTCGGATCCCATGTACCCTCTCAAGCGTGCGACCGACTCCCAGAAGTGCATTCGCGCCGGTGGCAAGCACAACGATCTCGACGATGTCGGCAAGGACAGCTACCACCACACATTCTTCGAGATGCTGGGCAACTGGTCCTTTGGAGATTACTTCAAGAAGGAGGCCATTGAGATGTCATGGGAGCTCTTGACCAAGGTCTATGGTCTGGATCCGGCCCGCTTGTACGTCTCCTACTTTGAGGGCAACCCCGAGATGGGTCTCGAGCCCGATCTGGAGGCCAAGAACTTGTGGCAATCCGTTGGTGTCCCCGACGACCACATCTTGCCCGGCAATATGAAGGACAACTTCTGGGAGATGGGTGACCAGGGCCCCTGCGGTCCCTGCAGTGAGGTTCACTACGACAAGGTTGGCGGCGGTCGCAACGCCGCTCACTTGGTGAACGAGGATGACCCCATGGTCGTGGAGATTTGGAACAACGTTTTCATCCAATACGACCGCCAGGCTGATAAGTCACTCAAGTCTCTCCCCGCCAAGCACGTTGATACTGGCATGGGTTTCGAGCGTCTCGTCTCCGCTCTCCAGGATACCGTTTCCAACTACGCTACCGACATCTTCACGCCGCTGTTCAAGAGAATCGAGGAAGTCACCGGTGCTAGACCGTACACCGACAAGTACGGAGCTGACGATGCGGACGGTATCGACACTGCCTACCGTGTCATTGCTGACCACATCCGTCTTTTGACCTTCTCCATGTCCGATGGTGCTGTCCCCAACAATGACGGCCGCGGATACGTCCTCCGCAGAGTGCTCCGCCGTGGTGTCCGCTACGCGCGCAAGTACTTTAACGCCGAGATCGGCTCCTTCTTCTCCAAGATTCTCCCCGCCCTTGTCGACCAAATGGGTGAACAGTTCCCCGAGATTATCAAGAAGCAGCAGGATATCATTGAGATCCTTGACGAGGAAGAGGCCGCCTTTGCTCGTACCCTTGACCGTGGCGAGGCTCAGTTCGAGAAGTTTGCCAACGCTGCCATCAAGAAGGGTGAGAAGAAGCTCACTGGCGCGGAGGTTTGGAGACTTTACGACACCTTTGGATTCCCTGTGGATCTTACGAAGCTGATGGCCGAGGAGCGCAAGCTGGATATCGACGACGAGGAGGTCAAGGTTGCCCAGGAGAAGGCCCGCGAGGCCAGCAAGGTCGTCAAGAACGCCGCACAGACTTTCGCAAAGTTGAACGTTCACCAAATCGCTGAGCTTGAGCAGCAGCTCAACATTGCGAGAACGGACGACGAGGCCAAGTTTGGCAAGGGTGACTCAAAGGCCAAGGTGCAGATGATCTACGATGGCAAGGGTTTCATCAAGTCAACTGAGGGTATCGCTGAAAACACTCCCTTGGGTCTGTTGCTGGACAAGACCAACTTCTATGCTGAGTCTGGTGGTCAGGTCGCCGATTCTGGTCGCATCGTCATCGATGGCGTCGCCGAGTTCAAGGTCCTCGATGTCCAGAACTTTGGTGGCTACATTGTCCACAGTGGATACCTCGAAGATGGCAACTTGTCATCTGGCAACGAGGTCATCTGCGAGTACGACGAGCTGAGAAGATCGCCCATCCGCAACAACCACACTGGCACTCACATCCTCAACCACTCGCTCCGGGAAGTTCTCGGTGATGATATCAATCAAAAGGGTTCTCTGGTCGATAACGAGAAGCTGCGTTTCGACTTCTCTCACAAGACTGGTGTGACCATCCCTGAGCTCAAGAAGATTGAGGACTTTTCCAACGCGTACATCCGCCAAAATGGCAAGATCTACTCAAAGGAAGTAGACCTCGACCTTGCCAAGGGTATCGAAGGTGTTCGTGCCGTCTTTGGCGAGACCTACCCCAACCCCGTTCGTGTTGTGTCTGTCGGTGTTGATGTTGACACCCTACTCGCAAACCCCAAGAACTCGGAGTGGCGCAAGGTCAGCGTGGAATTCTGCGGAGGTACTCACGTCGAGCAGACTGGCTTCATCAAGGACCTTGTTATCGTCGAGGAGAGCGGTATTGCCAAGGGCATTCGTCGTATCATCGCCTACACTGGTGATGCCGCTCACCAGGTACAGCGCGAGGCTGCCGAGTTCTCCAAGCGTCTCGATGCCCTTGAGGCGTTGCCCTTCGGCCCCGAGAAGGAGCAGGAGATCAAGTCAACTCAGCATGCTCTTAACCAACTGACCATCTCGACTCTCACCAAGGAGGATATCAAAAAGCGTTTCGACAAGATTGTCAAGTCTGTCACCGATGAGCAGAAGAAGCGCCAAAAGGCCGAGTCCAAGACTGCGCTCGACACCGTTGCTGCGCACTTTGAGAAGAACAAGGACTCCAAGTGGTTCGTCGGTCAGCTCCCGATCTCCGCCAACGCCAAGGCCATTGGCGAAGTTGTCAAGCACTTCCAGTCCAAGGACAAGGAGCGCTCCGTCTACTTGTTCGGTGGAAGCAAGAACGAGGGTGCCGTTGCCCACGGCGTCTACGTTGGCACTGTAAGTTAATCCTCTACGTTTATAGAAACACAAGCTAACATGCAATTCAGCATCTGTCCTCGCAGGGTGTTACCGCCGAGCAGTGGGCATCTCAGGTCAGTGGGGTGATTGGAGGCAAGTCTGGCGGCAAGGAGCCTACCCGCCAAGGACAGGGTACCAACGCCGAGAAGTTGGATGAGGCTGTTGCCGAGGCAGAGAAGTGGCTGAAGGAGAAGCTCAGCATTTGAGCGACAGAGATATCCCGCTGATGTGTTGCAACATGTCTGGCAACCAATTTACTTTCCACGAGGTCTAGATGGATGGGAGCATGGGCGAAAACTGGATATGCTGCGATTTCGAGCATGATCGAATAGGAGTAGATCACTGGGATGACAACCCTGTCCCTCTCTGTGTATTCCAACAAAATTAGGAAGACAATCTGAACAAAGTTAAAACAGCAGAATTACATGCCGTTGCGGAACTTTCCGTGGTCTAAAGGGGTATATGTTCTTTTTCTTTTCTACATTGTTTATACAGTCACCAGCACACTTGCGTTCTGGTAGTAGCTCAGCAGAGGATTCTCCCCGCTGCGCGTTTGGGTGTCCTCGAGGAACGCCCACCGCTGCATAAAGTCACCATGCGACGTGAGCCTCGTAAGCTTGCCCGTGATGGCCTGGTACATGGCCTCCATGGTCTGGAAGTCTGTGGGGAACATGATGTCAAAGTAGCCTTGGTGGACCTGGTGCGATTTTCGATTAGCATCGGCATTCTTTCGCACACCAATGTCAGAATGGTTTTGGAAACTCACCAAAGGCGTCGTCACGGGCACCGTCGTGCGCTCGTACCGGGTCTGGACGACGGGGGCGTTGAGGCCCGGTATGGCGTCGGGCAGCGAGTGGAAGTCGCTCGTGACGAGGCGGTGGCCGGGGAAGTACTTTTCCAGCACGTCGAAGAACTGCATGAGGCGGGTGGGGATGTACTCTGGCTCCGAGAGGTTCGGCATGAGCGGCAAGCGCGACTTGAGGTTGCGGAGGACGCGGTTGCCCGGGTAGGGGAGAGGGTAGCGCCCGCCCGTGGCGGCGTGGCGGACGCGGAGGAAGCGGGCGAGGACGGGGTCGAGGTCGGGGGAGTAGAACTCGTAGAGGTCGTTGTCTGCGTCGACTAGGACGGAGCCTTGGAGGGGTTCTTCTGTGGCGAGGTCGTAGCGGACGACGTCGTGGGAGAAGTTGTCAAAGACTTCCATGGCGAGGAAGAAGCAGGGGGAGGGGACGCGTTCGGACCAGGAGAAGATGGACTGGTTGATGATTTCGACTTTGGAGGCGTGGCCGCGGGAGTCGGCGGTGGAGAGGAGGTGGTGGCGCTGGAGGGAGGCGAGGGCGGGAGAGATTTCGATGATGCGGTACTGTGTGCGGGCGTAGACCTGGGGGTCGAGGTCGCGGATGTAGTCGAGGATGTTGAGCATGAGGGTGCCGCGGCCGGCGCCCATTTCGTAGATGATGAGGTCGTGGTAGGGGTACGTCGTGAGGCGGTAGTTTGAGACAAGGTAGCGGGCAATGGCCTCGCCGTAGTACGGACGGAAGAGCTCGGTGGGCGTGTGCCAGAGCGGGCGGGCGTCGTTGACGCCCTCCTTGTCGTCGAGGTCGTCCTCGAACTCGGTGTAGCGCCGGCCGAGCTCGCGGTAGAAATGCGGCTCGTCACGGAAGGAGGGGAAGTCGAAGGGCTGGCCGGGGGAGAAGATGACGGCCTGGGTGGAGAAGTAGCCGTAGGCCGGGTTGTAAAGGCTGTCTTCGATGAAGTCGCGGGTGAGCATCTTGGCCTTGCGCGGGCGGGTTGAGCGGGCGGCGAGTTCGCGGGCGTTGAGGGTCGGGTAGGTGTCGAATTCGTCGGCGCGGTCGTTTGGGAAGAGGGACGTCCTCTGCTGCCATTTTGACTCGTTTCTCTTTTCCTGTTTCTCGGCCGTGGTCTTCACGGCGTAATTTCGCCGTTGTTGAGGTGTCGCCGAGGCATTGGCCGCTCTTGAGGAGGATGATGCTGAAGCTGCTACGCCGCCGTTGTGGTTATGTTGGACACGAGGTCGTTGGTGGTGATGGCCTAACGCCGGGATGCCGGCGGCGGCGGTTGTACATTGTCGCCGAGATTGGCACGCGGGCCGGCGAAAGAGCTCGCGGAAGAGGCGGGTGACGGCGGGGGAGTCCATCCCGGGACGAGGTTTCGATGGTCGAGCGGGACGAATACTCGGCAGGGCGAAATGGGGTCGTTATGGAAGTCAATAAAACGGTTGCAAATCGCGAATCTTCGGATTGGCAGAGAGGTTCGAGCATGGCCCGAGCTCCTTTCTACCACGGGGCAGCTGTTAATCCGCCACAGCGCTGCCCGTTCAGCTCCACCACCGGGCGTGGTCCCCTGCCAAGGGAGGCCCCGAGACTCGACGCCTAAGCCATCGAAGGCATAGCGTATGGCCCGAACTTAGAGGTACCGTTGAGGCTGAAAGGCAGGGGACCAGAAGAGCTAAAATGACATCACCTGCAGTTTAGCGGGCAAATCCCCTGTAGAATATAATGGTGAAATTCATGCGCCGTGTTTTTGTTTTCCGATACCGCAAAACACATCTCGTCAAGAGATACACAACGACGACGACAACAAAAAGCGCTCGCGGGAAAAGCGACGCGGACGATGGAGCACGACACATGACACAGACAACATGTCTCTAAGTAATCATCCCAAAGCCTATGGCTCGGCCGCCCTAGCGCTCGCCTTCACGGCCGGTATCCTCGTCACTCTCGGCTTCAAAGACTTTTATCCGGACCTCGAACGCCGGTACCAGCGCCGTCACAACCGCCGCGCGCGCAACACCACCACCACCACCGGCGGCTCTTCCGCGGACCCCTCGCGGCGTAGCAGCCTCTTCTGGGGCCCACCCGTCCAACTCGAAGACCACGAGACCGCTTCCGAGGCCGATGAAGCGGCGGCGGCTCTCCTCACCAGCCTCGGGGGGGCCGCCTGGAACCCGCCGCTCATCGCGGACGGCGTGGCGGGCGCCATCGGCAACACGCCCCTCATCAAGATCCGCTCCCTCAGCGAGGCCACGGGGCGCGTCATCCTCGCAAAGGCAGAGTTCCTGAACGCCGCCGGCAACACGCCCAAGGACCGCGTCGCGCTGTCCATGATCGAGGGCGCCGAGGCCGCGGGCCAGCTCGTCCCGGGGCGCGGCGACACCATCTACGAAGGCACCGTCGGCAGCACGGGCATCTCCCTGGCGACGCTCGCCCGCGCGAGGGGCTACCGCGCGCACATTTGCATGCCCAACGACATGGCCATGGAAAAGGTCGATTTGCTCTGTCACCTAGGCGCCACCGTCGAGCGCGTGGACCCGGCGCCGATTGCGTCGCCGGAGCACTTTGTCAACCTCGCCCGCCGCCGCGCGCTGGAGCACGCCGCCAAGGCCGGCGACGGCAGCGTCGGGTACTTTGCGGACCAGTTTGAGAACCCGGCCAACTTTGCGGCGCACCTGCACACCACGGGCCCGGAGATCGTGTACCAGACCGGCGGGAAGCTGGACGCCTTCGTGTCCGGCGCGGGGACGGGCGGTACCATTGCCGGCGTGGCCAAGTATCTCAAGGAGGAGGCCAACGTGCCGGGTCTTCAGGTCGTGCTGGCGGACCCCCAGGGCAGCGGGCTGTACAACAAGATCCGGCACGAAGTCATGTACTCGAGTACCGAAAAGGAGGGCACGCGGCGGCGGACGCAGGTCGACACCATTGTGGAGGGCATCGGCATCAACCGCGTCACGGAGAACTTTGAGGCCGGCAGGGAGCTGATTGACGACGCGATCAAGGTCACGGACGAGCAGGCGTGCCGCATGGCGAGGTGGCTGGTGGAGAACGACGGCATCTTTGCCGGCAGCAGCAGCGCGGTCAACTGCGTTGCCGCGGTCGTGGCGGCTTCGAGGCTGCCCGAAGGGAGCCAGGTCGTCACCATCCTGTGTGACTCTGGCACGAGGCATCTGAGCAAGTTTTGGAAGCATGTGGCGGCGATGGGCTTGGAGGAGGATGAACATTCGGCTGACCTGTTCTCGGTGCTCAAGATCGACCCTGCGAAGAAGTAATAATATAGACGACTAATAGATCAACTCCCTCTCCGTCTTGCTTCGCCATACGTATAGGTCATAGACGGCCGCAGGTCTATCGCCATGTTTCGCTGTGACACTATCAACCATATCCAAGCCTCTTCTGCTCTTTCCACACAACCCTCAGCAGCGGCGGCGACGAGCAAGTGCATCCGAAACTACCAGACGTAGTGTTATGGGACCATCACACAGAGAGCGCTTCAAGTGGATGTGGTACGGACTCAAGATAAAGTAATGGTGAGCTAATGCCAGGTAGGCAATTTGCAAGATCTCGGTTACTTCTGAGCCTCAACCTTACTCAGGCTACTTGGCTATGGACTTATCGAGCACCCCATCTAGAATGTATCCTCGCTCTGCGTGAAACCGATTGTCGAGAAGCACATATGCGTGTGATACCCGAAGCTTTTTATGTTCATGGGCGAAAAGAACCAAAAAAAGGAGAAAAAACGGAGGACCTTTCCTCTTCCCCAACTCCATACCAACCAAGCCCGCACTCCCGAGTGCCAAATGCAGGACCATGTTCCCGTGCTTCAATAACGGGGTATAAGTGAAAATCACGCCGTCAATTGAAAAAATCGAAACTTCCTCTCCAAATTGTACGCTCAAGAGAACTGAGAAATCGTTAGCACAGTCGGCACAAAGAGGACGAGAAAATGGTCAACATACCTTCCAGCGGTTACCGCAGACGGTACACTCGCAGAATGTCGTCATCGGTTCATCAGCACTGCGAGTCTGCGCTTGACTGTAGCTGACTTTCTTCTGGCCACACTTGCCGCACTTGAGAGCATCACTGATACTCTTCTCGGCCATGGGAACCTGGGCCTTCTTCATGTTCTCCTGCTGCAGAGCATCCTCCTTCTTTCTCTGCTCTTCCGACTTGAGCTCCTCGTGGGTCATGACAACGAATCGAGCAGGAGTGATCTTGCCCTCCATGACATTGACGCCAAGCTGGCGGTTGCTCTTGACCTTGAGGTTGCTAAACAGGGAGCGCAGCTTCTCACGGTACTCCTTGGTGACACCCTTGAAGTGGCTGTGAGCAGCGAGCTCAACGTCGATAGCCTTGTTGAGAACGTCGTTGACGGAAGCGGTGGATCGGTATGCGAGGCCATTGTAGAGGAGTTCGATGCAGGAATCGCGAACAGCGTCATGGGTGCGCTTCACGTCAGCGCCATCGGCTTTCGCACGGCGAGCTTCGGTGTTTCCCTTGAAGGGTTGGTTCAGCGCAGACGACGAGGACGGCTTCGGGGCGGGGGCCTGGGTCGGCGACGGAGCAGCCGGAGAAGATCCCTTCTTGATCTTGCCCTGCTTCTCGGCTTCGACCAGCTTCTTCCACTTGTGGACGAGCTCAGTTGCGGCGCGGGCGATTTCCTTATTCGAGTTCTGGCGAAGCTTGCCGACGAAGACACCCGCTCTGCTAGACTGGTCAAGTACAAACGAGGTCAGTTTCGCTTCGTCGCAAAAGCAAACGAGGTGGACGAGACTATATGTCAAGACCATGCAGCACGACTAAAACAGTGCAATTCGCTACGTACCCGAAGCATCTCTTCCGTTGGGGCAGCTTCCTTCTTGAGGCGTTCGAGGAGAGACAGAGCGGTCGCAGGAGGCTCGTTGGCCTGTACGACCTTGTTGAGCTGCTTGATGCAGGACTCAAGCTCGCGTTGATCCATTCCAGTCGACATCGTGAACGATTTGTGCGCAAGTGAATAGCGGTGAGTGATTTTCCGGCGCGCGCGACGCGATGCTCGATTTGCAAGTGTTGAAGGAGTTGTACGGGCGTTGAAAGAAGGCGAGGCTAGACAGAGGTAATGGCCATTTTCCTCAGGTGGGTGGTGGAATCGCGCCGGAGCCAAGTGGGGCAAAGCCTCAGTATCCACTGTCGTGTGTGCAGGTCCCTTCCCTTCCACCCGTCATGCCTTTCCTCCCCCGGAAAAGCGGCATTATGTTTCACCGGGGTCCGTTCTGGCAACAGCGGCGTGGGGTGTTGCACCTTCCCGCCCGTCTTATCGCTGGAGGTCCCATGTGACGACAAGGGGAAGCGAAGCTTATCAAATGTCGAGTCACGCTGCCACATGGTCCCTGCTGCTGCCATTTCAGCGGATTCAGCGGAGAAGCTACCCACCTGAAGCTGTCCCCCACGACAGCTGGACAGCTGCTGCGCATGCAAGGGGCAGATGCTGGAGCCTATGACGCCAGAGGTCGACATGTTTGGGACGTCTGTAAACCTTCTCTAACATCAACAGGCCTTGATCGTCCTTTGTCTCTGCCTATTCTTGGCCAACGACCGTTGCACCCGTTTCTGTTACTAGCTCCCGTCGAGTGACTCACTAGTACTGTCATAACATCCGGAATCATCGACATTGTGCCTTATATCAAGGCAGCTACGACGTCCCAACCCTTGCCATCAACTTCGCCACTCTACGCGCTCGGCGCGTCGCGAGACCATTCACACTCCAAAATCCCATATTATATAATTGGCTTGCCCATTGATGGAACGCCATCTCTGGACGCGACACAACACTCTTCCCTGTCTAGTTGAGACTCAGAAAACGGCCCTCTCAGCCACGGCCTCGAGGCTTCACCGATATTGTCAGGCACGATGACTGCACGTCGTCAACAAGACCTACCCGTCGAGAGTTCTTGGCGCTTGGTAGAAGGCGGCGAAAATGACAGTTTCGACACTTCCATTCTCAACGACCTGGAGGAGGACGATGGCTTTCTAACGGAGCCGTCACAAATTCCATCGCAGTCATTCAGCATCGGCGGTTCTCAAGAGTCGCACCACAGCGTTCAAGATTTCATGAACAAGGCGGACGATGAGCGAGTTATCCTTCGGTCTCCATTTCAACCCACCGTACGACGAGACCCTAATCGCTCTCCCGAACCGGAGTTCATCATGCCATCCATGCGCTTCAGTTCTACTTCAGGGACTGGAACCAGCCCCCAACACAGTAGCGGTCACTCCTCGCGGACCATACGCCCCGGCGACGTCTCATATCAGCAGCAGGATGTGCGGCGCCGTGCGATACGCCAAGCCAGCACTGGAAGCCCTACGTCTGCCAGACGTGGCGATCCCAGAAGAGCAAGGGGTTACTACGATGAACCGGCTGAGCCCAAGACCGTCACGGAGCGCCTGTCAGAGTCTCTACCAAGTGCGGCCTTCAACATTTTGGCATGGATTTTCAACGTCATTGGCATGGCCCTTGGTTACGTCCAAAAGCCGTTGGCACTGTGCCTTGCAGTCTGGCTTTTCTTTGGTGCCTCCATAATGCTTCAAAATATGGTCACCAAGTCACTCACAACGTCCCTCTCGCCGCTCTGTCGCATCCCTGGCGCGGCATATTTGGACCTCCCTTTTTGCCCCTCGTTCACCGCTTCACCGGGCGGAGGCAAGGAGTCAGGGTCCGAGTCTGCCAACGTTGAGTTTGACGACCTCATGAACGTTCAGTCACAATTCGAGCAAGTTCTTGAACGCAGTGCCGATGGCGTATCATTACCGATGGAAATGAAGCGTTCCGAGTCTTCGATACGCGATCTACGCACCATGGTTCGGTACTCGGAATTGCCACAGCGGGACGAGCTAGTGTATGAGTTCAACGAGTATATCGATACCGCCCGCTTGACGGCCTCCGACTTACAAAAGTTCAACGTTCATGTGGGATCCGCCGTCGACTCCGTCATCTCGATCAACCGCTGGACGTCTCGCTATCTTGATACGCTCTCTGTATCAGAGACAACAGACGTGGGACTGGTTTCCCAGTGGTCCAGCTGGCTCTTCTACCCCTTTACTCCCACAGTGACGCCTTTCTCCGAACGGACCCTTCTCGACAAATACATCGAGCATACCGCCCTCGTCTCTGACCGTATCTCCTCACTCATAGTAGAAGCGCAAGGAGTTCTGCTTCTACTCACAAAGGCGGAGGAGAACCTTAATCAAATCTACGAAATCGTCACTCGCTCGTCGAATTCGGTCAAATCCCGTCGCGACGAGGTTCTCTGGACGTTGTGGACTCTTGTCGGTGCGAATAACAAACGCCTGCACAACCTCAACGCCCAGCTCTCCCTTCTGCGCCAGGTGGATAGGCAGCGCGTCACAGCCGTTGCGCAGATATCGGCTCTTATTGTCGATCTTGAAAAGATCCAGGCCGGGCTGGGCGATCTCCGCGACCGCGTCGCCGCTCCCGAGCTTGTGCGTGATTCGACCATTGCAATCCCGTTGACGGTCCACATTGAGACCATCGACCGTGGAGTCGAACGGCTGGAAGACGCTCGTCAGCGGATTCGCGCAGCCGAAAACGACCGCATCCGTGAAGCGCTGGCCAGAGGTGGCACGAAGGAAGACGACAAGCTCATTGAGGGACGGTCATGATGGAGGAGAAATAGAGAATGCAACGTGGCAGCAGATGGAACTGCCAAGACATGAAGAGTGGATGAAAGTTAAGATTTCGGGTGTTTATAATGCATAACTGGAAGTGCTTGAGACGATCAGTTGGTTCGGCTTGGCGAAACAAATGGGATGAAAGCTGGCATATACCATGATTCTGATGAAACGACAATAGCGAAAATACCACGTGTGGAGAAGTCTTGTTTTATTGTAGGACGACACTGAATAGAAATCAAGTCCGACTTGGATACCTCATGTCACACTCGGGAGATACACTGTAACAAATTTCTCTTTTGGACCATGATAGGTCTCAAATTTTGATTCCATTGTGCGCTCTGTCTGGCTAACGCAATTCTACCTGATCTGAGCAGTACACAGCTACCGTCGCCGATTTCTACGTAACTTTTTCAATTCATACCGTCCTCCAAATCGCCGTTGATGCTTAACCGTGCCGATAGGGTATATCCAGTCCAAAAGCTTGGGCTATTTACAGCAGCCCCAAGAGAAATGTTCCTTGCCAAAATGTAGCAGTCCGAGGGCCATTCCGAGCCCGCCGAGTCTATCGTCGTGATTGTGAAGTGAAAGTCTCCTCACCACCTCCTTTAGAGGTGGATACCAGGGAGTGTCGTAGATATGCATCATAATGTTCCCTTGCTTGCCTTTCAAAATTTCAAAGGCAGTCCTACTGCCTGATCCAAAACGCCTTTACACCATGCGACTCCGAATTTGATGACATGCTTCCAGTGCATGCAACTGTCATGAAAATCCTGGGAAAACTTTGACGACATAACGTTTCCCTAGAACTGAGGTCAGAACATATCATCGGTGTTAGGTTTACATAGAACTTGTACTTACACGCCGGATTGCGACCATCTGGGTCGTCGAAGGGTGTACCGGCAAGCGCTCTCATTCGTGCTCTTGCCAACTGAGATGGGCTCTTGCGTCCTTCAGGCCGTGGATGGCTCTGATGTGAGTCTGATCCAGGCATATGAAGCCGCAATCCACCTGCTTTCCGGCGTTTGTTTTGGTGAATAGTCGGAACTGCGGCTGCTTGTCTGGGCGGCTGAGGTTGCGGATGTGGTGGTTCTTGACGTTCGGATTGGCTTGAGGGTTGGTCCGAATCTTCTTGCTCCTCTTGGGTCGGTTCGAGGGCACGTTGTGCAGTCGACAGGGGTGCTGCCTCGAGATCCACAGAAGTATCGACATTTGCTGATTCCTGGACTGTTTTTGGGGACTTGGAAGTCAGAACGGGCGTCATGGCCGTTTCCGTCGGGGATGATGCCGCTTTGTCCGTGCCGAATAGCCGCTTGCCCCAACGCTTGCTTTTCACCTCCCCCTCTTCGTCGTCTGACTCGTCAAATACTACCCGTTCCCTCAGTCGTCGAATGGCCCGCTCACGGCGTACCATGCCGTTGGTGATCTTAGGACAGTAGTTCGGTGGAAGCATGTTCCTCTTGCAGATTGGGCACAGTGAGCTGTTGAGACTCAGGAACTCGTCGATGCACTCGGGATGAAAGATGTGACCGCAAGGTAGTTCGCGGATAACAGAGTCCCGGTCCACATAGTTCTCCAAGCAGATGTGGCACTGGGGCTGATAGTTCGTAGCGACGGTGCTTTTCGAGCTGTTGACGCTAGCTCTTCGGGCCCTCGATCTCGGGCCGGCGTATTCGGATGTTGTTCGCTGGTCAGTCCGCATGCTTCGCGGCGACCTTACAGATTTGGGTGGCCTTGTTGTAGAAGGTGTGCTGATCATTTCCGGCTGGAAACTATACGTGAAAAGCGGGAAGTCCTTGACGTGATCGACGGGCACGGTTACTCGTTTGATTCCCATCGCTTCCAGGTCAACCTCCCCGCTGAGTACCCTCCTTCGTAATGAGATTCTCCGTCTTCTTTGTACCAGGTGCATCGTGAGTGATAGACAGGCGATGATGAAAATTACGACGCCGACAACCGTGAGAATCCATGTCCACATGGCAGGGACGCTGTCGCGGTCCTTAATGGTTAGCTCCGTCCATATGCGGACATAGTCGTTATCGTGGGGGTCGTAGATCTCCTGGATTTCCTCTCCATAGGGAATTTCGGAAATGTTCCCAGAGTAGAAGCTAAGCTGCTTCATAAATTTGGTGCCTTCGGCGCCCGACACGGCGAAAATCGGAAACCGGTTCTGGGTGCGCCATGCATCGCCATCTTCAAGATCCCATATCGGTGAGTCGGCGCCCTGGGGTTCATTCGTCGAGTTATTGGGCCGGTAAAAGATAAAAGCGCGGATAGGATCGAGTCGTGCGGATGCAAGATAGGCCTTGGTACAGGTCGCATTAAACCATGGCGCAATGGCAATTAGGTTGTAGTTGGTGGGAGGAAGTTCTGCCTGTGTAGTGGCATTACGGGGGATTATGTCGTACTGCTGCTCGAAACATGGGTTTGTGACGCTCAGGTCGGGAACGTATAGCAGGCCTCGAATGATGCCATCCTGCGTTTCGGTGTTTGTCGTACTCAGCGTAGTGAGGTTTGCTGTGATGGTGTCCTGGTAGGCTACCTTGCTCTATGCACTTGGTTTAGAGGAAGACTTGAAATAAGAACGATGGCGACTAGACATACCGACAGGGAGGTGATGTTTTTGATGAGCGTCGAGGGGACGGTATTTGCGCCCGACCAAACGGGGTTACTGAACAGTAGACTGTGTAAAGGTTAGCTGGTGGTTGAAGATACGCAAAGTCGTGGTTGGGGAAATGCGCGTGGTGAGGCATTCGCGCCAAGGTCTGCCCCCAGAGGCGCTGAGAGGCGCTGCGAGGCACAGTGACGCGGGCCAAGGCAGCTGCAGCGTGGTACGACGAGATGGTGAGAGAGTCAACGGGAAAGCAGCAGAGAAGCGTGCGCATCAATGAGGAAATACGGGGACGATGGCATCGAAAGCAACGGGCATCTAAAAGGGAGTTTTGCTGAGACATACACGACATTTCGAATCTGTTCGAGAGCTGTGAGACGTCAGTGAGTTGTGCCAAGACCGGGGATTTTGGCACCTCTTGGCCGCCGCGAAAAAGGGAGAGCACGGCAGACGTTCATCTGCTTACTATGGGCAAGATAACCAACCGCATGATTTTTCTATTGTGTGTATTGTGCTGGAAATGAAATGGGTATATAACGACTTACACATGCTTCCCTCACATGTTCAACGAACGGGCTGAGGGCATTGAAACCATCAACCTGGTGTGAGTAAATCGCGGGTGGCTGCTCGGGAAGTGGAATCGACACCAGCTTTCAGGTGGGATAGCCAACGAACGAACGAGGCGGAAATGGCCGGGAAATTGGGGTCGTCGGGGACTTGGTCAAATGAATTCAAGGCCGATTCGGTCTGAGGATGTCGAACGGGAAGTAGTAGTGTGTGGCAAGTCGGTTCAAGGCGATGCCTACGATTTGAAACCTCGAGATCAAGGTCGAGTCGCGATCCGAGTCGGAGAGGATGAAATTGGTGAAATGGCAGGCAGAAGACGATCAAAAGGCGAGCTGAGGAAGAAGCGATTGAATGGGAGGTCAGCGAGCTGGGGCAGGCGCGATTTTCAATGCCAAGCGGGGTTCAGATCAGGTCGTTCCCAGTGCGCTTGCTGCAGGTGCGCTCTGTATTCGTACACACTGATCAGGTCCAGGTCCAGGTTCGGGTTCCAGGTCGGGGGGTGAGAGTTGAGAGTGGGAATCGGGTGTGTACTGTGAAGTGTGTGTGAGTGTGTGTGTGTGTGTGGTGGTGGTTGTGGTGTTGGGGGAGTTTGGGTAGAGAAGGGTGGTGGCCGGGTGGCATGGCATGGTGGATGACTTTGAACGACCGGGCAGACAGACTGAGGTGAGGTGGACGACCAAATGGCTGGAGCATGGGGCAGGAGGTACGAAAGTACTCCGTACATGAGTGACGAGCACGGCAGAGGTACCCGCAGCCAAATTGTAGGTATCGGATCATCAGCAGTCTGCAGCGTCGGGCACTAAGAAGCAAGCCGCAAGGTACTTTGTCCATACCTACCTAACCTTGCCGGATATTGTATGTAAAGTAGGGGCGAGGGAACTGATGCACAGCCCCCCTGCCCTGTCTTCGCACTTGCACTTGTCCTCGTCCTCGTTGTCGCTACCCGCCTGTCTCAGAGGAGGAAGAGCAGGTACTCTTGAAGTACCTTGGCTGTTAAACTGCTGGGCCTTCCTATTGCCCGTGGTTACCGCACACCGTTAGTTAGCAGCCTGCCTAGTGGTTACCGCTGGTGTTCCGGCTGGCGTTTACATCCTTCAATACGCGGGCTCTTCTCCTTTGTTGATTTCTAACGAATCTAACGAGAGAAGAGTGTTACATGATGCACTTAACAACGACCTGTCAGGAGTGGACTCGGGTGCCAATCAGTAACATGGACAGCAGATTGTGGACACCAGTCGAATGGAGAGCGTTCCAGGTTGAATACGGCGCAAGTGCAGTAACAGAGTCAAAACTGTCGTGGGACTCTCATGATGCGCGGATACATAGTAGAATTGGACGCAAAGATGCAGCCAGAAGTTGGTACGCAAGTACGGCACCCTACCTTACGGATAGGCTGGCAGAGATGGTGGAGTGGATCGCAATGGAGACTGTTGAAAGTTCCCCGGTAGGCAGTCAGGATTCAGGAGGCCGTCGACCACACCTCACTACTTCGTACTCACTGTACGGAGTACAACATCCCAAGCTAGACGAGGCAAAGAGAAACACGACGGACCATTCGGAAGTAAGAGAATCGGGAGGGAAGAGATGTACCGGCGAGTACCTGCCGATGTACCTCAACTGCCTTACACTCACCGTGACACCTTACATAAGGTAATGGAAGGAAGGCTCTTCCTAATTGCTGTGTGTTTTCCTTCCCTTCTGACTCTGACTCCAGACGGTAGTACCCCAGAGTCATTCGTGCCTGCCTGGAAACCTGGATACAGATCGTTCCTGACTTCCCATGGACGGCTCACGGGAGCTGCTCACCTCAGCCAAACGCCCCGCACAACCTGAGATGGAATCACTCACTTACTCGTGTTGTCTTGACTCTTGAGGCCGGGTATGTACCATTGTCCAAATGCATCATCCCAGTGCATTCGAGCCGAAGAACCGAACTCTTATCACGACACGACACACCCACTAGAAACCACAAACTCCCCAAGCAACTATTACGGGATGCCGGCGGGCAGATAAAACCAACAACAATTCTAACCACCAAAGCGGCTATTGTCTATATTTGGCTCCAGATAGTCCCAAAGAGTCAAGACCCTGTACCTGCAGCCCTGCGTCTGCTTGCCTAACTACGAATACTATTCGACGTTGGTACGCATACAGAAAGAAAATGGACAACCCACAGCCGTTTCCATCCGCAAATCAATCATTTTGTTGCCGTTCTTGCCGTCCGTGTCGGTCACCGCATGCCACAAACAATCAAAGGAAAAAGTAAAACAGTCTCATTACATGTCCCCCGCCGTGCCGTGTTAGCCTGCACATCACATGGCTACGGATACACGGCATCCCCAGCCCAATCCCTCGACTGACGCCCATCGGATCGCATGTCATCATGGCTAAGCTTTTTGTTGCCTCGATTCCCTCCAAAGCTTGTCTGATCTTTCAACGACCTACCCAGTTCCCCCGTGCCGGCTCCCGCTTCCCACCCTCGCCGGATCAGCACAAGTCATTATGTCACCCGCTTTCCCTCTGCGTTTCTCTCACTAGCTATGAAACCTCATAGGCTACCCTGGCTACGTTCCACATTGATAGCCCCAGGAGAATGGTCTTCCTAGTCTTCTCATCCGGGGAACGATTCGTGGCCTCCTTCTGATTCATTCCCGCTAAAATACCAGGCTAACACTGTGTGTCTTAGTGTGGAAGAGTAAGAGGGAAAATCAAAAGAGTCACCAACTGCTCTGGGCGTTCCCGCCGCCGCCTTCGGATACGAACACCAGCATCTCTCCGTTCAGTTTGATCAACAGAGTTGTCGAATCTTCTTCTCTGGTCCATCGTCCGCAACGACGGTACTGCGATGCCCGATCTGATTATGATCAGTCGGCGAGGTTTGCCTCCTAGCCTCGTCGCATCGCAGTCTCTCTCCCACCTCCCCCTTTTCCCCTTGAGATTTTGAGTTTCTCCCACCACACGGGCCTGGTCTCCAGTCATGGGCAAGTTGTGCCGACAGTTCCAGACGTTTTGCTCCAGCCGATGTGCGTGACAGCTCGACCACGCCCGCCCGGTCGTTCTCGGCACTCACTCACTCGGGTCTCCCGGTTTGACGGCCACCTTTCGCGTGGCTCTCTACTACCTATACGATTGACGGTCGCTATACATGTATAGTGCTTTGCGCAATATAACTCCTGCCCGATTTGCGTCTCAAGAAGTAATCTTTTCAAAGCCACGGGATTGGTAAGTTCTTGGACCAAACATGGGGCGGCTTCGCATCACTGCATTACTGCTTCAAGGCACAGCACATGATCGTACCATTTGCGCAAGTAGCCCAACGCCAAATTGGTAGTCTGCGGCTCAAATCGACGGCTTTGCTAAACAGCACCGCTGCAAGACGCTCGACTGCATATCGCCGCCAATAGCCTGGACACGCACTCTCAGACCGCCCCCTTGGCGCTCGACCATCGGAAGCGCACATTGCGTGGCCTGCGTGCTGTTATCCTCCACAAGGGCCACTGCCTTTCCCTGTACCAAATCAGGATGGATACCGGCACCAACATCGACACTCGGGATCCTACGATGTCTCTCTCCCGCTGCGAGTCAATCAGCGGGAAAAGCTTCTAGCGACCAGACCCTCCCTTCTAGTCCCGATTACTCGACCTCCGCCCGTTCTTGGCATCCAGACTCCATACCTCGTCACGTTTGCTATCCCTTCAGATTGTAACAAGCCTCATAGAGGTACCACATCTACATCGGACTTGCTGGCAAATTCGCAATCATATGCCATGCCATTTGATTTTTTCTACTTTCCCACTTACTTGTCGTCGCGATGCTACTCTGCAAACTTCCTCCGGCGTCCGGACTTAGGCACCCTGAAGCAAAGGTACATGGAGAGTACCAGCGCTATGTTCCCCTCACAAACGCGGGTGCCCAAACAGACGTCATTGAAACATTGGCTACCCCCTGGGTCAGATCCACTGGGACAGGGGCCATCTCCCACACCTACCTACGGTTGGCAATTTTACTGCTGTACCCTTGCCAACAGAGAACACATTTTCCGGCGAAACTGATCTGGTCTCGTCCGGAATGTTGCATGCTTCACCAATCCGAATAATCAATTCTTCAACAATCGCCCTGACTTCTTCCATGCCAGCCGAAGATGCCGGACAGCCGCCCTTGGTCTCCCCAGCGCCGTTCTCGGCAATCTGGAGGCTCCCGGCCGCGGCGGTCTGGCGCCGTTCTGCTGTCTCAACCGGCAAAAAAAAGCCGATCGACCCTCTACGTCACGTACTAGTCTGTCGTTTGATTCGTCAAAGCATCTAGGCTGGCTGCGACACTGATACGCCCGAGAACAATGGCAACGCCAAAGGGATCTTTTTGACGGGCTGCCACTCAACCCTGCCTTTGACCGCGCGTCTTCTGCACAACGTTGGCAGATTCCACGATACAGCAGGTGTTCGCCTTTTGTGGCTGTGTCAAGATTCCTGAGGGGTCCTGGGCAACACTCAATTCTCAGGTGAATATCTTGGCTCTGGCTTGGCTTCTTATATTCCGTACTGCCGTGGCCTCAAAAGCACCCAGGGACGGTACCCGTTACCTGCCCAGAACACAGCCACGCAGCACAGCCAAACTTGACAGCATCGTTCATTTCAGGAGGCAACTGGATGATAGCTGGCTAGAGGGAGTGTGCTTTGAGTATGTCCTGAGATCCATACCTCTAGTTAGCCACGCTACGAGGGATCAATTGCGGAAGGGCCAAATGTGCTTGCTTGATCACCACCACCAACATAGAACGGGTTCTCTTGGATGGGGCCGCTCTTCAACCCCTTCGCGAACTGGAGTTCTTGGCTCAGTTTCCAAGGCGAAGCTCGCTATGAAGGCTCTCTCGGTCAATATCGGCACCAAAGTCTGCGAGGCTACAAGGTGAGGAGACTTGCCCAGGCGTTCGAGGCCCAGGTCACTCAGGCACAGCTCTTGGCTTCTGATTCCAGATGGTCCAACTGGCACACTACGGACGTAGGTTACTTTACGTGAGGTGCTCCAAGACCAGTCTAGGGAGACGCCAGAACTTTCGGGGCAAATCGAAGTCAACTCCAGCGCGCTGGGACTTGAGATTTACAAGAACAAAAAACCCCTCGGGAGCGGATTAAAAGTCCATCACTGGCGCCTACAGCCGCTCTTATTGGTGATCTCAGCCGGGCAAGTCACCTGACGGAAGGAGACGCTCGGGTTATCGGCACTTTGGAACCAGTCGAAGCGCCAGTAACACCCGGCCTTGAGCTTCGCCGGGAACCCGTCACACTCGGCCCGGGAGCTGACGCCGCCGTACCGCTGGCCCCACCCGTTGGCCGGCGCTCCGTACTGATCCGTGCAGGCGTTGAACTGGCCCACGCCGCCGCCGGGGATCTGTTGGCACGACATGATAGTATGGGATTTCTTCCTTCGCCAGGTCTTGTTGCGTCCGACAGCGGGCCGTTCTGATGGTTTCTCTACCACCATGACGGAGCTTGGTCTCCATATAACGGATTCCCTCCCGTAAGTTCGTCTCCGTTTTGGAAATCGTCACTTCGTCAGGAGCGTCGACGTCCTTTCAGCCCCCCTCTTGCATATCCAACAGTTCCCAAGAGATTTTACAATCCGCAAAAGGACGAGGGCAAAGGGTACCTGGTACAAAAACAGAAAAAAGGAAACAGAGAAAGAAAATAAAATAAAAAATAAGAGCTCACCGCAATATCAAAGTAATTCTGCCCCAAATCACCACCCGTATTCGTAGCCTGCACAACCATCTTCTTCCCCGCCACGGCGCCGCTCGTGAACGTAAGCTCGTAGCACGCGCAGCACCACTGCGCCTCCGTGCCCCCAGTGATGCGCACGGCGGCCCAGCCGTAGCTCAGGTCGTCGGACACGGCCCAGGGCGACTGCGCGCTGCACATGTAGGCGCTGCCGCCGGAATCGCATCCGCTGCGGGTGGCGCCGCCGTCTGAGAGGGGGTTGTCGTTGCGGTCGCAGGTTGTTGCGGGGCCGGTGGCCAGGGAGGCTTTGCCTGGCCAGGCGCAGGAGGGTTTGCAGCAGTCCCAGTAGCGGGTTGTGCTGCCTGGGGATGTGGATTGGGCTGTTGCTGTGGAGGAGAGGAGGAGGATTGGGAGGAGGAGGAGGGGTAGGGGGGATGGGAGTTGCATCTTTTTGAGGGGGGGTGGTCTTTGTTGAGATGTTTTTGATGGCTGTATGGCTCCGTCGTGGTATTCTGTGAGATATGATGAGTTATCTCGGTGATGTTGAATGTTTGGTGTAGGCTTTCTAGTGGTTATATACCGTTTGACAATCAAGAGTCGAATGGAGCCGAGGACGGAGTGTGTCTTATATCACGGATCATAAAAAAATAGGATCGTCTGGATGATGACGGGAAATGTAAGGGCAACAGTTATCTCATTACCTACCTAAAGCCGGACAACTCATCCAGCCCTTTTCAAATCAATATCAATCCTATCACCTTACGCTCTCTCTCTCTCTCTCTCTCTCTCGGCGGGATGCCTCCGTTTTCTCCATTGAATCCAAAGTAAATGACAGGGTGAATGTTATGTTGGGGCCTAGTTTACATGACATTACCCAACTTTACCCGTACCAAGAAAACAACAACGATAATCCCCCCCTTCTCCCCCGTCCCGTCCCCCGTCACGCTCCAAGAAAGAAGAGACCGCAGTAGTACAGCGTAGGATTAGTCTCGATGAAACTCCCTCTCTTGATTTCTCCAAGTGTTCCATCCCGGCCAAACGACGTATGTAAGTTGGATCAGGGGGAAAGGGAAGAGTTCGGGGGGGGGGGGGGGGGGGGGGGGGTGGAAACCCCCAAATTTACCAGAAACAAAATAACCTCTTCTACAAAGATCGAACCTAAACTAGAGCCATTGGGAACGAAATATATATATGGCAAGACTTGGCCAAAGGCAAAAATGACCGGAGTACATACGTCAACGATCACCCATAACCAGCGAGCCAGTCTATCTGACCTTACCCCAGAGTTTCAACTTCATCACGGGCTGCAGCTGCATCCCAACGTTTCGGCGTTACGGCCAGAGATTCCCGTGACAGATCGGGGTCGACTACCACTCTTCCCCGCAAAAATGCCGCTGACGATGCTGCCGTGCCGTTTGTCGTCCGGCTAGACAAGAGGGGACAGGGTAGCATTCGGAACGTGTCTGCCATGTCCTCCATTCTCCATGTGGTAAGAGATCAGTCGGGTCGACTATCCCGTTGCTCAATGGCGCATGATAATAAAGTCACCCGGCACTTAACAGCCGTGATTGATGATAGACTGAAAGCTGTACGTCACCCAAGCTGTCAAAGATGGTAAAAGACTGATACCCAGGAACCGCAAGTGATTAAGAAAATCAATGTCATCAACATTTTGTGGGTGATCCTCACCACGCGACCTTCATATCACATACAGTAAGCACACAACACATTTGAACTCATAAGTAGAAGCAAGACTTTTTGTTATTGTTCTTCGTTAAACCTGTATCCGTAGCTTAAACCCCCAAGCTACCCCTGTTCATAAAGCCAGTCGTCATCATCTACCAGAGTACAACCGGCAGCAATCTTTGCCAAGAATCAAGAGAAACAGCCACAGCGATCCTACCACCTGCGGTTATTGTTGTTGTTGTTGTCGCCAAACTGCTCAGCGACCTTGCCAATGAAGTCGCCGAAGCCACCGCCGCCGCCCTCCTCGCGGCGCTCATCGTCATCGTCATGGCGACGACCATGGTGTTCCTCCTGGCGTCCGTAGCCGCCGCCCTCGTTGTCGTCGCGTCTACCGCCGCCATAGCCGCCTTCATCGCGACGGCCACCGCCGAAGCCTCCCTCATCTTCGCGGCGGCCACCTCCGTAACCACCACCGCCGCCACCGTAGCTCTGCTCTTGGCGGCCGTAGCTGCTCTCCTCCTCACGACGGCCACCGCCGTAGCCGCCCTCGTTATCATCGCGTCTACCGCCACCATAGCCGCCGCCGCCGTAGTTGCTCTCCTCTTGACGGCGGCCGCCATAGCCGTCGTTCTCGTCACGTCGGCCACCACTGAAGCCAGACTGGGTGTTGCCCTCGTATCGGTGAGTCTCAGTGCGTTGCTCATAGCCACCGCCGTAGGAGGGACGGGACTCGGTGGTCTCCTCGTACTCGCGACCACTGGTTCGGCGTCCGCCGCCGCCGTCTTCCTGCTCATAGTTGCGGTACTCGGTACGGCTGCCGCCACTAGGGTACTGGGTCTCGCTGTACTCGGCCTGGCCATACTTGTTTCCGTGGTGACCGTACTCAGTCGTAGTCTGGGTGTAGCCACCATCGTCGTCACGACGGCTGCTGTGCTGGGTCTCTGTCTCGTCCTTCTTGAAGACGCCTCCAAGAATGGAACCAATGAGACCACCGGCGCCGCCGCCGCCACCACCACCACCACCGCTCTCCTCCTCCTCTTGCTGGTGCTTGTACTTGGGGACCTTAACCCCAGTCTGCTGACCAACAAGATTTGCGATGGCACCGGAGGCGCCCTCGAGAATGGCGCCGGCAGCTTGGTCGGCAACCTTGTCTTCCCAGTTCTTAGGCTCGCCGAACTGCTTGCGCATGTGGAGCTTTCCGCTGCAGCCGTGACCGTGTCCAGTGTCGTGAACACCTTCCTTGTGGTTCTCGCCGCGCTCAACACCCTCGCGGCTCAACTTACGGCGGTAGTCATCCTGCTGGCTTCTGTCCATGTTGTTCCACCACTCCTCGAAGAACTGGAAGATCTGTTGACGGCCCTCACGAGCACCATCGTCTCCCATGTCACGCTGGGCAGGGTGGTGCAGGACACCAAAGATAATGCGGTTCAAGGTGCGGTTAACATCAACGCTGTCGTTATCGATGGCCTCCATGAGCTGGGGCACCACCCAGTGGAGAGTCTTGGCAGCGCAGCGGCCAGCAACCTCGTTCAGGATCTGTTAAAGTATTAGCCTCTAATCTCGCCCGCTGAGTGGTGTATTGCTTACGTTGGTGAAGTGGTCCTTGGACAACATGGAGTGGGTGGGGTCGGTGCTGCGGTCATCGTCAAAGACGATGTGCTGCTCCTTTTCACTGCTCTCGATAATCTCGGCGGAACCAGTGCGCAGCTCGTTGCGGATCTGGTTGATGACGGGAAGAATGAAGGGAGCAATGACCGAGAAGACGAACTTGGACAGCTGCTCCTCAAGCTGCTCAAGAATCTTGGGCAGGACGGGAATCTTCTCAATGGCCTCAGAGATGCCCTGCAAGATCTCGTCGTGGAACTCGATGGCAGGCATGATCTGCTTGAAAACATCCTGGATGTATCGGGTGTACTCCTCAGGCTCTCTAGGAGAGACCTGCATGTTCTGGAGCTGCGACGAGGTCGCGTTGCTCTGGAGCTCGTCCACCCGGTTGCTCTGGTGCTTACCGCCAAAGATACCATCGGGAATCATGTCCAGAAGGTTACGCAGGATGCTGGTATCGTTGTTCTTGCTCTCCTGGAGAGTACCCTCGAGCTCCTCAATCTCGTTCTGGGTCAACTTATCGGAGACTGGTAATTGTTAGCTATGATCATGTCAGAGCATCCACAGGGTAATTACCTTCGCCAGTGACGGAGTGAAGGAAGTCAACACCACCAAAGGTACCCGTGACAATCGGGTAAACATTGCCTCTAGCTCCGTTAAGCTGGATCTGAGTGTCACGGCCGACGTGGGGGAAGATATCGCGCTCGCCAAGCTCAATCAGAGCAAGCTCGCAGTAGTTGCTGTGGGCGAAGAAATCTGCATGACACCTTGTAAGCGATATTCCAAGATTGTTTCAGTCTTGGTGATTGAATAGCGTACCCTCCAAGCAGTGCAGACCAGTACCCATGAGGCGCATGGCCTCGTAGAGATCAGCCTCGTTCTTATTGCGGGAGTATCCTCGGGCCAGCTCGATGCAGCTGGCGAACAGGTTGCGAACGTGAGCGGCGGAAGTCATGATTCCAGCTTGCTCGTTCGCAATGTAGTTCTTCATGCCGGACTCGCGGTCAATGCCAAGCTCGACGTTCTCGTCGACAGGGGCTCTCAGACGGCGATCGTACTGGCGGGCATCCTCATTGTCGGCATAGTTCTTGGGGTTGTCGATGTGGTCCTCGGGGCGGTAGCAGCCAAGGCGGTCGGCCGTGACCTCGAACTCCTTGGATCCGTAGCCAAAGGTCAAGAAACCCAAGACACAGAGAAGGAGACGAATGGCCTCGGCGGAGACGGACTTGACGGTTCCGACATCAATGGCTTGAGAGTAATCTCTGAGCCAGTTGCCAAAGTAGACACGGGAAACCATCATCTTGCTGAACTTCTTGCCGCCAATGGCGCGGGCCATGGCGAGGGTAAGGAGGGCATCTTCAATATCGCCGTGGCGCCCTGTGTGACAGGAGAGTTAGAGAACCTGTTCTGCCTCGCAGACAAGGACGGGAAGAAAGGGGACTCACAGTTCTGGCCCTCGACCTTGGAAATGCTGGCAATGTTACCAGCTCCAAAGGCGTAGGTCGGCTGGGCAAGGCAGACCAGCACAAGCAGGCCGACCAGCAGCGGGTAGGACCTGGCGTCGAGCATGTTGAGTGACTTGTAACCTCTTGTGATGTGCTCCTCTCTCCTCTTCTGATATTCAGTAGTATTTATACGCGGTAAGTCTGTAGAGACTGTTTAGTGACTTGATCAAGGTGAAGTGGGGGGTTTGCGCAGAAGCAAAACAAAGTTACGATGACGGGAGGGAGAGGGAGGTCATTGAAATAGGGAGAAGGATATGACACAAGCAAGGGGCAGTAAAGAAAAGGAGGGGCTTTGATGAGGGCTGGAGGCGGTGGAGGGGCAACACGACGGCGTAACTGCGTTCTTCCAAGCTTCGGGAGCATGGGGGATGGGGAGACTGGAACACAGGAACTGGTTGGAGCTATTAGAAGCCAAGAACATGAGGCGGCTCGAGTGAATAGGAGGGCGCCAACAACAACCTTGGAATCGAGACCAAGCACAGCACACACTCACCCACGCCTGTGAATGCTGTGCGAGTGTCCCATCCAATCTGATCCAGCCCAGTCCAATCCGCCATCTGAGGCTTCATCTTGTCACTGCCCCTCCCACCTTGTTCC